TACAAAGTGCACAATTATATACTTTTTAAATGTCGTTGACAAAGCAAGGCAGTTCTTTAGACACTGCTCTAATATTTCTAATGGAAGAGGGAAAGCTACATAAAAAAATACCAGTTTCTCCACTAACGTAGCCTAAGTACTTCAGTGCAAGAAAAACAGCCACAAGACATAACTGAACTGAATCAGCAGGCTGTTTTGCTTCTTCTCTGCACCTGCATTTTTAGCACAGTTAATTACATGTGGATTTGAAAATGAAGAATAATGGAAACCAATTATCTCAAAAGCAGTGCTGGGGAAGCTGAAGTTATAGCTTTGCGAGCTACCAATTACTTCACACTTGAAGAAGTTGAACTGTTACTCTCGAAAATATAGCGTGGTTCGGGTTAACTGAAGCCACTTAGAAAAAAGTGTTTCAAACTATGTTTAAAAAAATTATTGACAATGTCAAGTGAAATTAAATTATAATCAAATATATTAGCATCAATTTGGCATAGATTATTTCAAAAAGGGCCACTTGTTCACATGTCAAAACTAAACCAAAACATATATAGATTTCACTTTAAGATATTTGTAACTTTTTACACTGTTTTGAGGACTAATGTGTAAAATCTTACTTAAAACAGTAATTTGACGCTCTTACACTGTTCTAAACATTTCCAAATTTCTTTTACTTGTAAGAAAATAAAAAGTGTTATTTCCTTTTAATAGCCCCAAATAGTTTGTAGCTTTACTAGTTACTGTAACTACACTTAAATGACCAAACATGACATTCAACTAGTTACATTTCTATGTGAATATGAGTGTAAATGAACTAGCAGCAAGCTACTGCAAATTGTAGTTGAACTATTAGTTTAATTACATGTAGTTCACTCCTCCCTGACACTGCTAAAAGGTGAAGTGCAGCACACAATAGCTCTTAGAGAGAATTCAACATCACAGGTGGACATTTATTTCACCTGTGGGACGCCAGCCACCTTTTCATAGGTGTTTATGACCTCCAGTAAAAACAGGAAGGGTTTTCACCTGAACTTGTTAAACAAAGCCCCCTCCCCTTTGGATTAGGTTAATGGTCCAACACATACTTCCTCCTGAGTAACCCTTCACATGCTGAAAGTAGATCCTTAACAGGCATATCACTTATAACCGGACTTTTCTTCAAACTGTACATTTTACATTTATATTTAATTTAAAGGTCCCATGTCATGCTTTTCTGGTTATTACCTGTCCCCTTGTGTGTTATGAAGGTTTTTCTGCATGTAAACGGTCTGCAAAGTCACAAACCCTCAAAGTACATCCTGTAGCGAGTACAACTCTAACACAGAAAAGACCTGTCTATGCTGCCCCAGAACGCCTCGTTGGAGATTCCTCTTTTTCCATTGTTTTCTTCCTGGGTAGAGTGACGTGCCCATACCCAATATATATCCGTGGAGCCGTTACGTTACGTCACGTCCGCGGAGCCGTTAAGTTCGCGGATTGGTCCAAATGGACCAATCCGCGGACTTCCTCACACACACACACACTCAATCTTTTCTCAGCTGCAGCTCCGCCGATTTCTCCCCCCTGAGACGGCGGGACGCGGCGAGTCTGTGAGTCGTTGTGTGAGCACACACACAAACTCCCAGCCAGGCTGCGGGTGTGTGTGTGTTCGGGCTGGGTTTCGCTGTGTCTCGCTGTCTCGCAGACGGCCACTGGGCTCATAGGGAGGGGGGGGGGGGAAGGAGCTCCAACAAGCCGTTTAGGACAGAGAGTGAATACACAAACTATACAGAGATGCTGTATGAGAAACCAATGTGAGTTTGGAAAATTGCACAATATAAATCTATTTTAGTAGACCTCAACAATGGAATTTTATATTCGTAAAATGGCATTTAACTGACGAGGTATTTTGCTGGTGAGAGATTTTAGTTGCTTTAGCGTGTAGAAGCTAGTAAGCCTACTATCTTATTTGTTTTAGATGGGCACAACATGTTTCAGACCTTATTTTCCTGTTCCATGTTAAAATAAACCATTTTCAGTGGTACCGCTGAGAGAGTAATTTTTTTGGTCATGGAAAATTAGGTAAAGGTCATGGAGAAGTCATTGGTGAAAAAGTGTATGAACCCTGATCTATCGATCTATCTATCCATCCATCCATCCATCCATCTATCTAGCTATCTATCTAGCTATCTATCTATTGATTCTCAACAGCATTGTGACAGTTAGCAGGCGTGATGAGGCTTGTTATCCATGTTTTCTTTTTCGTCAAATGCATTCATCCAGAGTTGTTGAGCAGGTTTTCCCCCCACTTTGCAGTTTATTCAAAAGCAGCTTTGACTTTTTCCCACAGACTTTTTATTTTATAGTTGAAAGCAGGTTCTACGTCAGAGGTGTCCAAACTTTTTTCACCGAGAGCCACATACAGAAAAACATACGAAGGGCTGGGCCACTCACTAGAGGTGAGGTTTATTGCCTCATAAGTTAAGTTATAAGTTATAAGGTACATTATGCTTGATACTTGAAAGTGCCTTAAGAAAAAAAAACAGCCTAGATCCCAGCTCTCCATAGGGTTTCATTTATTTAGTTGGCAGCTCATCCTTCAAAACAGAATCCTCAGATTGCTTATAATAAAGGGAAATGTGAAGGGTGTACTTCAAGCTTGTTATGTAAATAAGTTATTAGGCCTTTTTTCTCATCAAAATGTTTCCAACTTTAATTGACTGAATTTATTTGAAAAGTGGGCTTATTAACGCATGAATACTACTATGTAATACATTTGTGCATATATATTTAAGAAGTACAATATAAGACAAGCACAAGTTTCATTTGTGGGCCGTATTACATTATACTTTTTTAATTTGCTGAGCGCCGATTCAAAATGGTCCGCGGGCAGCATTTGGCCCCCGGGCCGTAGTTTGGACACCCCTGTTCTACGTTCTCGCCCATTCCAGGTTGGTTAATTGAGATGTGACATTCGGCCTGTTTTTGCCGCCTGCCCCACATTTCCTCCTCGGCCCTGTGAAGTTCCTCCCTCTCTCCCTGGTAACTGCTCACTTGCAGCGTTCCCAGGCTCGCTCTGGTGGCACGGATCCCAGTTCGGGGCTGGGAGACAGAGGGGTTTCTCAGGAGACAGAACACAAACACAAGGATCCAAATAACTTAATCACCAGTGGGGCTATTAGGCCCGGGATCTTAGAGGCTCTCTCCGGGGAGGGTGTTTGTGTTGGGAGAGGGGCAGCAGAGGGGTATCTGGGGACTGGATGGTCAAAGGAGGTGTTTGGGAACACCGCAGTCATGGGTCCGGTCAATTTGAGATAGGTCATGCTAAGTTCTGTGCTATTTGTGTAACATGTCAGGCCTCACCCCACTGACCTGGAGTGGAAAAAAAAACCCATTGGTCATCCTTACTGGGAAAAAAATTATTTTTCAATTATTTTAGTTTTTGCTTATCTTTTAAAGCAAATAAATACAATCTTATTTTTATTTAGTATTTTTTTTAATTATTATATTTTTACATCCATAGCTATTGTACTGTATATCCTCTGGGAAGCTTTAAAACTAGTGTTATTTATTAATTAATTTCATTTCATATTTTGCTTTGACATTTGGAAAGTCTTATTATTTTATTTTTAGATTTGTTTTGGGCAACCAGTGCCTTTTATTTAAGTGACATTGTTGAAAGGGGGATACAGAGGGGATGACATGCTGCAAATGGTCCCAGGCCGGATTTGAAGGGGCAAAACAAACTAAATCTAAATAGAAAAAGAGGAAAAGTATTTATTTACAAATTAACTGGAGTGTGTAAGGCACTGATTACAGCAATTAAGATGGACTATTCCTGAACTTTCTTTCTTTCTGCATCCGGACCTATAACATACATAGTACCTCTGTGTTTATGTGTCTCAGATGTGAACCCATTTCTCACAGTGACACACTCCGTAAACACATTTTTCTTCACGTATAGAACAGAGGCGTTGCAGGCGACCTCCTGACCTCTCATAGGATGTCCGAGTAAATATTTTAAATCAGGAGCTTCGATCGTGTGCACTTAAGGGTTCTTTGGGGCTGATGTTAAAGCCATGATTTGTTGCAGAGGAGTCATTTATCTTACGACACATCTTGAACATGTCTTTGTTTTTCTGACACCGTGGTAAACAGGAGCATCCGAGGTGTTCTCGTTCGAGGTTAGAATAACAACGTCGACCCTGGCTTTTATGTCCGCTTACCCTCTTGCATTTTCCTTACTCAGTATCTCTTCTGTGTTTTGACTGGAGGTTTCTTTCTCATGACAGTGTTCCCCTTCTCAAACTTCTCCTGTCTTGTTACACTTATATCCATTTTCCCTACTTGACTACTAGACACTTGTTTTGGTGCTTTCAAAGAAAGGGTTTGTGTTTTGTAAAGAGGACATATTAATGCTCATTTCAGGTTCATATTTGTATGTATCTAGTGTGACATGTTTACATTTTGTAATGTTCAAAAAGCTCTTTATTTTTCTGCTGCAGCACCTCTTTTCACCCTCTGTCTGAAACCAGAGCCTAGTCTGCTCCGATTGGTTCGCTGGCTGGTTTTGTTGTGATTGGATTCCCACTAGCCAATAGTAGCGCAAGTGTTACATAGTGATGCCAATATGTTACAGTAGAAAATCATATGAGTCCAATGGAGGCGTTTCAAGGACAGGGGGGAGTCTGTGGGAGAAAAAATGGATTTTAGCCTTTGCAGACCATTTACATGCACTAAAAACGTTATAACACACTACAGGAAAGCGAAACCCCCAAAAAGCATAGTAGGGCCTCTTTAACTAAATGCCATTGACAGCCCAGATAAACATGTCACAGTAGTGAGAGGAAACTATGATCTACAACCCAACAGGTGGCTCAGAGAGGCATATCATCACATTCTCACATCACCACCCCTCTTTGGTGTTCGCTGAGGCGTTGAGTGGAACCATCCACATGTGACATAATACGTGACATGAGTAATAACGTCTGTCTGTTTCTCTCTTTGTCCTTGTCTTGTTGCAGTCAAAGATCTCCCAGAGGCAGCAGCGCATGATAAAGAACCGCGAGTCGGCGTCCATGTCTCGGAAAAAGAAGAAAGACTATCTGCTCACGCTGGAAGGTCGCCTGAAATTTGCGCTGTATGAGAATGAGTCGCTCAAGAGTGAGAATGGCAATCTGAAGAGGCAGCTGGAGGGCATACTGAGTGAGGTGAGAGGCACTGCTCTGCTGATAGACTGCACTCATACAACAAGACTGTGCACAAAAACAACAGCTCAGAAATGTTCCCAAGAATTACCCATGAATAAGATCTGTGAGTTTTAATGCAAGATATTTCCTACAGAACACGGTCCTGAAGGTAACGGCGCCCAAGAGGAGAGCCGTGTGTCTCATGGCGGTGTTGGTGTTCGTCATGCTTAATGTGGGACCAATGAGGTGAGCACATGATGCATAATGTGGGACTACAGATCTCTCTCTGTGTGTCTTAAAGTGGAAACTCAACTATTTGATGTTGGCACACGGTAGTTTGAGATACAAGAAGATTACTGCTAACTGCAACAAACTGTGGATGCACACGAGTTTGATTACTGCAGGAAAACAAATGGGAAGCCCCACGATGAGTCATTGTGGAAATCGCCCCTCGTGTGAGACATTACGCAACAAACGTTGATTGAAAACAGAGAAGAGCATTTCCAATTCAAGCACATTCACCCAAATCTACTTCACACATATTGCAGTTGAGAAAAACTTTTATAATCAGAATCAGAAATATTTTAATTATCCCCTGCCCTGCCACAAAAAAACGATTTGCTCCGGGATGACTAAAGTGTTTCTGATTGGGACATTTTATTAACACATCGGCATAAAATAAAAAGTCCTACTACTATCAGCGATTTATGTATAACAATTGCTGTGTCTACCTATAGAGTATTTCTTTCATGCATTTTAAGGTGACTTTGGGTGTCTGGAAATGCGCCTACATTAAACAATAGTTAATAAAAACCGGTTTATGCTGTGAAAACAATATGAACAATGAATGCAAAAGATTGTATTCATACATATTGATCGTCCTTAAAAGGCACCTGATCTTAACAGTAACCTTTGTGGTGCAACCCAAAGTACTGCAGCCCATTCATGCACATACTGTAAGAGTCAATCATGAGTGAAAGTAAAGAACCCGACAATACTTCATCACAAAGCCAATTGGCTCTTGTGTGAATCTTCCATTCCTCTGTTGTTGCTGCCAGAGTTTATCGGACTTTGTGACTAACGGGTGAATCAGCTTCAGAACACCGCCCTGGGTTTAGAGGAAAAGTTAACATTACCACTGACAAATGTAAAAAGAAAATCATTTCACGCTTCAAAAGAAGGATCAAACATTTCTATATGGCAGTGTTTCTTATCTCTGCCTATAATATCAACCAACACGGCAAATCAAAATGACGTATGTAAAACTTCACTGGGGAAAAGGGTTTATTTCACCCAGCTAGCAGATGGAGAGATGGCGTAACCCCACAAAATCAACTTAGGTTCAACTCCAACTATAACAATACATTCTGTGTTTGTGTTATACAAATATTTGCTTCTCCTGGGAATAGCTTTCTCCAGAAAGATGTGAGGATCTACTTTTTGGACTGACTAACGATATTCTTTCGTGCCCTGAGCTGGGAATATGTTCTCAGTTGTTCTAGAGCAGGGGTGCCCAACCTTTTTTGAACCGAGAGCTACTTTTAAAGTTGCCAGTCTGCCGAGATCTACCAGTCCAAATAGAGAGGCGTAGCCATTACTGAGCCTACTACCAGGTAAATACACACTTCTACTTGTATAAAACTGACCTTTGTACAATTAATACTTCATAAAATACTGCAGATCCTTTATCTTACCTCTTTCTAATCTACACACATACAAGTATTTAACTGAAGTTACACAACAGTGTTGTTGATACAGAGTTGGAGTTTATTCACACGTCACATACAGTGGGTGATGTTTTCAAGAAACATTGAACAGTGCTGCCACATATGACACAAAAAGAAAAGACTCTGAACCCTTTCTTTGCCATTATATAAAAATAGTGTTGCTACAAAAGTATAAATTAGGCTGACTAATAAGACAATCTGAAGCTACAGGAATCTGCTGCCAAAGTGCAATAAAAAAGACAAAATGAATAGAATCAAACCCTTTTTTGTAGCATTTTAGTAAAGTATAAAAATAAATAGGATGCAAGCAACACTAGTTTCTTAACCTGAATTGATAATAGACTATAATCAATTTAAGTTTGCATTCTTATACCATTTTGTACAATAATTATAATGAATAAGTTCAAACAGCTTACAGCTGATTAATAACGGTATCTAACTTGAGTTTTTATTATATCAAAAACCTGTTGAAATGCTTCTGTTATTTTTACTGTCCCCCAAAAGCGCATCGGCAGCCTCCAGGAATGCTTCTTTCACAACTTCGCCATCTTTGAAAGACTTCATGTGTTTTGCAAGAACGTGACTGACACGATAAGATGCTCTGGTAGCAGCCTTGCTCTTGTTGTTGGGCCTGGTGAAAATGGACTGCTGTGCATTTAGCTGTCCTTTCAGGCCCCTCCCCTTTTGGGAGCGTAGGGCAGAATTAGGAGGGAATTCCGTCTCGTAGCGTTTGTGCACTGTTTTGAAATGCCGCACCCTTCTTCGATAAAGCCACGCTCGCATTGCAGATGAGACAGATGGACTTTGAATTGGAATAGATACAAAAATAATCATCCTCCCACTCGGAGTGAAAATTATATATTTTGGGCTTTTTTGCTTCTGCCATAATTGCGGTCTTGTGTGTGTGCGGACTGTCACTCCTGTTGACACGGACAACGTCAGCGAAATAGTGCCCACTGCCCACCAGCCACGCCCCGACACATGGGGTCACGCCGACCAATCACAAAGCTTTGATGCGTTCAAGTGCATTATTCTGGCACAGGAAGATTATGTTATAGGACATTAACGATAAAACAGAATATGGTTGTTCTATTTTTAGACACATCTCGCGATCGACTGGGAATCTCCCCGCGATCGACCGGTCGATCGCGGGGAGATTGATCGACTGGTTGGGCACCCCTGTTCTAGAGCTTAAACATGAAAAAGGACCCATGAATGAGTTTGCTTTTGTGACTCCACAGTAGCTAAAGTGTGTGTGAGTCTGTACCTGTTGCTCACATCTGTGTTCTGTGTTTGGGCTCTCCTTTGGAATGTAAAGTATTCCCGCTTTTGAGCACGGGTGGATCCCTTTTGAAACGAGAATGCCACCCAGAGTTGTGTGTGTGTGTGTGTGTGTGTGTGTGTGTGTGTGTGTGTGTGTGTGTGTGTGTGTGTGTGTGTGTGTGTGTGTGTGTGTGTGTGTGTGTGTGTGTGTGTGTGTGTGTGTGTGTGTGTGTGTGTGTGTGTGTGTGTGTGTGTGTGTGTGTGTGTGTGTGTGTGTGTGTGTGTGTGTGTGTGTGTGTGTGTGTGTGTGTGTGTGTGTGTGTGTGTGTGTGTGTGTGTGTGTGTGTGTGTGTGTGTTTTTTTGTGTTATGCAGTCTGGACCAGAGTTCAGATTCTGCCCTCCCCTCCTGTGCACGGGATGTGGGCCACGTGGAATTCAGCAGTTATTTAAGTCCATTCCCCTGTTCTTCTTTTCAGTGTTTCCTCCCCTTCTTAGTGTCCTGGTTTGGCCTCACCTGTCTCTCCTTCTCCCCTCATCTGTCTCCTTCTTCTTCAGTCTGTTCCAGGGTGGCCCTGGCTCAAAGCTCAGAGATGTGTCCCTGCAGCAAGGCGGCAGACACCTGTTGGCTTTCTCCTCGGAGGCAGAAACTGAGGCTGGGATGGACCCCGATTCTCTCGGCCCTGGCCCCTCTGAGACGGGCGACAGGTAATGAGCTCACCCCCCCCCCCCCCCCACACCTTTCATAACACGCCATGGCACGGATGCACCTGTGCCGAGGCTCAGTCTGAACGAGTACAGCTCATTACGACACGAGTAAACATTGCAAACTCTATCTAAACGTCTGCTTTTCAGATGCCTCCAGGCTAGTAGGCTAGCATTTTAGCTTTGAGTAACAAGTTGGGAAATTAGGGTCAGACTTTGTTTGACATCCAGCTTTCTATAACTAGTAACAGTTTATTATCCTAAAGGGTTATATATTTTTCTTTCTATTTTAAAAATGCGTACAGGTCCATTTGTAAATTGCATAAATAACATTCTTGTTTGGTACATTATACCTCCACCCCCCTGTCCTGCAAGCCGTGTTTTGCAAGGTGGTCAGAGCGTCTGCATGGCATTGCCAGTCTGCGTTCTGTCAGATCTCTCTGTAGGGTATGTTACATGTTAATGCAAAACATTCGGCTGCAGTGTCAGGTTTCCCGGCAAGTCAGGCAGGAAGGAACACATTAGCCTTCACAAAAGGGGTGACAGCAGCAAACGCACCAGAGAGGAGGATGACGGGGGAGATATGAAACCTAATCTGGGGGTCCCACTGAACAGGAAGGTGTGTGTGCGGGTAGGTTAATACCGGCCCCTCAGGTAGAGTTATGATCAAGCCTCAGTGGGCTGACATGTTGTCCCGCAGAACCTTTTCCAGAACGTTTAGAGACGGGAACACGAGGCGTAGTCGATGTGTTGGCTCGGATCAAGGGGGCCCGGGGGGGGATATTACGTCGGTGGCGGGCATTTTTGTATTAATCCCCTCGCAGGTGGGCACCGACTGTGGACAGTCTACATCATCACCTCAAGGAGCATAATCATTCATTCACAGAGGTAGAACAGTTGTAATTTAAGTCACTCTGAGGAGGAAAGTTATGCAATGCAGAGGCCTGTTAATCCATAATGCATGTAAACCCACCTTAGTAGTGACGACCCAGACTGTTGGGCTGTGTCTTCATCCGTCGTTTTCTATAATCAGAATGGATGTGACCATTTCTCTGTAGCATGTTTTAGGTTAGGGTTCTCAGCCACATATCTCTCCTGACATTTATGATGGGGTTAGTCATAACCGCAAAAACACCTTACACAATAAATGACTCAAACATGATAATATTTTTACACCTCAGTTCAAGAAATGTAAAGGGGCCTGATTATGCTCATGCTCATGTTCAGGTTCATATGTGTATTTTGTGTCTCTACTGTGACATGTCTCCATACTTTAATGTTAAAAAATTGTCTTTATTTTTCTCATACCGCCTGTGCTGCAGCACCTCTTTTCACCCTCTGTCTGAAACCAGAGCCCAGTCTGCTCTGATTGGTTAGCTGGCCGGCTCTTTTGTGATTAGTTGACAGCTTAAAAATGTCCCGTCCCTTAGCCTATCATGTGGAATGTCAGCAGGCAGGGGGGAGTGTGTGGGAGAGAAACTTCCTCTGGAGGGATTTTAGCCTTTGCAGACCATTGACATGCACAAAAACCTTTATAACTCACTACAAAAATCCGAAAAGGGCCCCTTTAAAAATAACACAAACAGTCCACGAACAACAAACCAATGTAAACATTTCACACTTTCACTTTATTTTTTAAGCATTTCCGGTCGAGTAAACTCCATACAATGCAGTATGATTTTCATAAGAGCCTTCAGTGTGGCAGCCCCCACCCTCTGGAACGCTCTCCCTGCGGAGATACGCAACATCCCCACACTTGAAGCCTTCAAAAGGGCCCTCAAGTCCCATCTGTTTGCCAAGGCTTTCGGCCCCTAAATCGATCTGTTGTTCTGTTTGTCTGTCTTTTGTTTTGTTATGTTTGTCTTTGCACTATTACTTGTGAAGCGACCTTGGGTCCCCTGAAAGGCGCTATAGAAATCGAAGCTATTATTATTATTATTATTATAATCTGCACCTCCCTTCTCAGCGTTTTTCTTTCATCCAATAGCGATTGAAGATCTGCCATCTCTGCACATGTCAAGCATTGAGCATTTGAGTCATTAGAACTCATTAGTAACCAATACAATTCAAACGGTTTATAATTGTCCCCACATTGAAGCCATGCTGCTTCCTTCGCTTCCTCTTGGTCGTCTGTTTCACCTCCATCAGAAGGCGAGCAGCCATGTTGGCTCTCAGTTTCAAAGCATATTCTAAACATGTGGAAAATATTTCAACAGATTCTTGTTTGACATTCATACATTGATTTGAGAGCCTGGTAAAGTTATCACTTCTCTCTCTTTTTAACACCCTTTTATCTGTGTTTTCTCCCGTGTTGTAGCTCTGAGGATAAATCCCTGATGGTGGTGAAGGACCCCATCCTCCTCAGACCCCCTGCCCCCTGCCAGCCCCCTGTTAACAGGACCAAGTGCTTAGAGTAAGTTATGAACGTTTTAAAGATCACCTATTATGCAAAATCCACTTTTTCATGTCTCTTCTACATCAACATGTGTCCCCTCTGTGTATAGAGACTCTGGAAGTTTCAGGAACAAAGATTCTCTCTTTTTGTCCTGATCCATTTATATAAAAACCTGTCTGAAAATGAGCTGATCAGATTTTAACGACTTTGTGATGTCATAACGATTTTTTTGGCTTGTGTAACCATTAGCCAATCACCAACCAAGGTAACCCCCCCCCCCTTATCACCTGAATCTCCTCCTAGAGCACCATTGTGTTCTTTGTAACCAAATCTCTCTCAGAGGGGCGTGGGGAGGGGCTCCTTACTTTCATCTAAAGTAACAGACAGAGAATCAGCACTTTGGAAACAGGGCTGAAACAGAGGGGATTATGGGTAATGCTGCAATGATCCGTTTGGTGTTTCGAGGCCAAACACTTCAGAGACATGTTTTGTATATATATATTTACCTTTAATGTACCGCCTTCTTTTCTCCTTTCTACATAATACAAAATCTCTATAAAACACATCTAAAGACCACACAAAAATGCTTAAATGTGACTTAAAATGTAAAAACAAATCTAATTCCTGTTGATTGACAGGCTGGCCCATGAGTTGCGGGGCTGGGTCCACCGTCATGAAGTGCAGCAGACCAAATCCAGGCGCATGAGTAACGGCAATCACAAACCCACAAGGACCTTTCTGGTAAGTCGCAGCATGTTTTCAAAAACAAGGAAAACATGTCTAATGGGCCGTGTTAGAATGAACAGAATGTTCAGAGTTCTGCTCCCGCTGTATTTTAGGGCCACATACAGTAAAGGATGGTATTTGTCAAACCCAAAGCTGCTCTTTCACCACTGTTTCACCTCCTCTCACACCTTCCCCTTTTGCTGCCTCTCATTTCTCTCCACCGGGCCGGGTTTAATCCGGCAGCCATGAGAAAGTAAACACAACACTTAGTGGGGCGCTGTAGGATTAGTGCCCCCTGCTCCTTTTTTCCATCATTTCTTCAAAGTTTGTCACAGTAGGGCTAATCCACTGGGAGCTGCCAAGTTCGTATAGCCATTCTTTATTTTTACTTTAAATCAAAGTTCAAGGCTTTTATTGGTCATACGAACATAGCTACAGTGTAGTTATGACGATGAAAATCTTAGGTCACAGGCTCCTCCAACAGTGCAACACATAATAAAACTGGGGGAAAAAATGGTGGTAGTTGTGGGGGAAACTTCTGTGTAGCAATGCAGTGGGAGTCACCGACTCATGAAGGAGACACGGGAAGAGCAGGAGCTTTGATGTCAAACAGTCACAGCAGCCACGGTCTGACTGCACGGGAGAGTTGCCACGTCAATTCTGGAGCGCCTCTCTCTCGTTAGCCCATTTAACTGGTTTCACAGAGTAATCAACATATTTGAGAAGATAGCCTAAACAGTTGGGAACACTGAGTTACTTGCGTCTGACACTTATGGCCTTGAAGATTTCACACCTTGGAGTCCACAAACACCGAGAAGGAAGCGTCCCAGTGTACCCACAACAATAAACCATCTGTGACCTAGGGTTGCCCGGTCATAGAATGGGAACAACAACATTATGGCTGAAGCAGCCTATCTCCTTAAAGGAGATAACAGACGTCAGGGTTGGTCATGTACTCATATCTAGGAGTCTAGGACAATTATTTCCCTAACACTAGTAAATACAAAAAGTGAAATAGTGCAATAAGAGTCTATATACAAGTTATTGGAATATGATATATTAGATAAATGATTTCTAAGTAGCTGCCAGATTATTGTCATGGATAGTACATACATAATACATAGGAAGGTGTGTTTATTTCTCACCTGTTTTGAGCTGTTCAAGCCCCACACACATGTCTATTTCAATTCGTATAACTTTATTTTATATATTTTGTGTTTCAGTTCGATTGAATGGTTCTACATGCAAGTTTAAGCTTACACTAGGTGGGATTCATTAGGAGGAAACTGGACTCAGGACTGGAATGTGTGTGCTGATTTCTAGATAATGTGAAATACTTTTTGATTGTAATGAGTATGTATTTAAGTGTTTGACAGCCTTGCCAGCAGTTTATCCTGCTTTAATGGTTAGTTGATGCAAATAAAGACTTTAAAGCTCATTCTTTCTCTTTTCTCCATCAGAAAACAGAGAATAAGGAGGATGCCCAGACTTTGACCGTCCGATACACAGATACTCCCGAGGAAAAGTGAGTAAAGGCCTGTTTCAAAGTGTCAGATCCACACAAGTAAACACATTTTCAGGTTTAAATGTCTTTTTACAATCATTTCCATTAGATTGTAAAGCTGCATTAAGCATCTATAGACATCTAGAAGGCAGAACACGCTGTAGATCCATCAGGATAAATACAGTCACTGCTGTTTGTGTGGTGAACCAACCATGTGTTGTAAACTAAAACAGTGAGTTAAGGCTTGTTTAAAAATGCTGACTGTAGTGTTTATTGTCAACAGGGTACACCAAGATAGATTGTGTAAAGCAACTGTAGACACAACAAACAGTGTTTCATTGTTTTAACATTTTATTTGAGCAAAGTGGCTCTCTGAGGGGAACTGCTTATGGGAAAAACATTTCTGGCTGAATTTCCTCACTTTTGGCTTTTTTCAGTTTTTACAATCGGTAAATCAAATCTACAGAACAAAAGAGCAACAACTAGTCCAGGCGGGGGGGCGCCAGTTGGTCAGGATGGAAATGGAAAGATCTAGATTTCGAGCAATTAAGCAGTTAGATTTTTTATATTTAGGCCACAAATTCTTTAAACTCCAGTACGTTTGTGAAACAGGCGACACAGACTGCTGTACAGCTTAAAACATAATTAACGTTTACGACAGTTTCACAATATCTGAAGAAAATTAGACTAAAAAACAATAATATTAGTAATGCTATTAGCCTTTATGTTTTTAAACTTTTTTCTTGTGTGTTTTATCTATTTTTTTGGCAAATGAATCACACATTGCAGGAACCTAGAGAGCACTGACTTATATGTGGATAATTCTTATTCCTGAATAATCTTGTAGGTAGTGTGTCTGTATTGGGGATAAACAAACAGACATATCAAATAATATTAGGGTTTTGATATCAGATACAAAAAAAACCTGTTATACAGTAGTACACTTGTCTGGCACATAACATTGATTATCAGCACTTATTCAGATGAGTACACGTCAATCTTTTCTCCCCAATTTGTAATATTTTTCTATTTCTTTGAGGTGTTTCTCATATTTTTCTGTTATTTCTAATCATCAGGAACCCTGGCAACGAGCTGCAGGTTTACTACGCTCCTCATCACACATACAGCGACTTCTTCGACGAGCTGAACCGTCGCGGCGACACTTTCTACGTGGTGTCTTTCCGCAGGGTGAGTTTCAACTCGTTTCATTAGATACACAGATCTGAGAGAAGAAACAAGGCATTAGCTTCAGCATAAAGTACAATTAAGAAGGTTTTTAGTGTAAGTTTTCATAACTCCACACTATTCATGTGTCTGTCATGGCATTTCTACTCCCAAACTGACCATACTAAGCAAAAAGCGAATTATAAACAGTGTAACTTATGAATCATTAATATTATGTAATAGGTTTGTTTTTCACCAGAGAGGTCTGATTTGAAAGTGGGGGTGGGGGAGGGGATGAAACTCACTCGCCCAAGGGTGTAACTGCGCCTCTGCAGTCCCGTTTCCTTGATCAATTTGTAATCACCAAGAACATGTTTTATATTTTGAGGCAAAACCATATGTTACACTCAATCTACTCGCTCTTTATTCATTTGTCAATGTTTCCACATTTGAGACTCACGGTATGTTTCTAATTTTCCACCTCGGTATGATTAATCCTGGACATCATCAAATCAGTTTATTGAGCTTTTGTTTTCATGAAGAAGAAAACACTTTCACTCCAAGAGAACAAGTTGTACCCATTATAGTTTGTGTTTCATCATCCTGGGAAGTTGCTGCTCCAAATGCGTCCCAATTAACATTTACCGAACAGTTTGTACAAATATAAAATAAGTATGTGTTACTTTAACACATTTGGATAGTGTTCCTAAGAGCTCATATCCCACTCAACACCTCTGGGTGATGTTAAGCCTTAAATCCTCAGGATTACTACGGGAGTTTTGGAGCATGGGGTCAAAGTTCAGGACCCCTCGTCACAAAGCAAGTCACAAAGGTCTGGCTCTGGGTTGGCATGGCGATCCAATGATCACAATGGAGAGGGGCGTCTGCAGGTCAAGTGACCGCCCGTCCGTTTCAAGCAGCTTTGTGTTGCATAAAGCTGGGAGGTGGTTCAGAAAGTGTAACACTACAGGGCTAAAACACTCGGATACATTGACTTTATTCAAAATATTTAAATATAAAAGTCATTCCAGGGTCTGATCCTCACCGACTTAAGATGTTGCTTTAATGAATCACCCAGATATAGGGATGCTTCCAAATGTTAATCTTGAATCAGGTGTAGTCAAAATTGTAACATAAACTAAAAAGGATATAAACACTGGAACCTAAAAAATAAAACCTTTTTGTTTAATATTTTTTTGGTTGAATCACAATTTCCAAAAAAAAACTGAGGAGAGTTTTTATTTTGTATTACTTTGATAAACGATACGATATACTTTATTGTCCCCGTAAGGACATTTGTTCTAGACTCCGTCCTGCAGTTGCGCATACATGTACATATACAAACACATACAAGTAAACATTAAAATACATACACATATCATCACTCATACACCGTTTGAACAAACACAATACACAGACGCACATACTGACAATGGCGACCTATTGCACTCAGGTTGCCTCATGGCCAACATTTAAAAAGTACATTTCATTACATGTGAATGTTAAGAAGCTTAATGTACATAGATGTGATATGATATGAGGGTTGTTTGGTCTGTACCCATTGCAACATTTAAAAGCCAAAGTCAATGTCTTCAAGTGCTGGTTTTATCCGACATATATTCAAAAACCCAGAGTTATTCAGCTTTAGAGACGCAACAAATAGACAACTAATGGATTAGATGACAGAAAATGAAACGATCAATGAGAACAAATCCATGCAATGTCAGACTTAAAGGTGGTGTAGGTCATTTTGGAGAAACCAGCTCGAGTGCGCTAGAATTTGAAAATACACAGCCGGAACAAATCTGCCACTTCCTTACAGAGCCCCTCCTCCAACACACACGAACGCGCACATGACCAATGAGGGCACGAGATAAGTTTGTGTACAGATGGAAGGCTGACAGGCAGGTAGGCCATCCAGTTACTTTAGCCGGGCCGGCTCAGATGATTGGTCGTGCTTTTTACAGCACTACGGCTTCCACAGATGACGTTTTTTGTCAAAGCACTTAAGATATTCATTGCTATCGGGATGTTAAGAGCATTCCGTGGAATATGACAAAAAGTGTATCTCGAGCCGGTTTCTCAAACTTACCTACCCCACCTTTAATGTGGAGATTCTCTCATGTTTAATATTATAATAAATGTTTGTTTTTTAGGGCTGAGAAAAACTAAGCATTTTAAAACATCACCTTGGAAAACTGGGTCATACTTTTCTGAAATGTATAAGACCAATCCTTTAATTAAGATAAGTAATTTGCATAATTGGTAGCCTTTTTCGATTACCATCACAAGAAATCATCACATCTGAGGAAGCATGAAAGAAAGCCCTTGTTTACTTCATGCCTGCTCTTTCTGGATGTGATTAACTTACTTTTTAATTAAATGATGAAGTGAACTTATCCTGGTTTTAATAAACTGTAAAGGCTAGAGGAATCAAGGATGTCTTATTGGGTTTGACAAAAGCACTTTACAAGGCAATAAAAACAGATCGTGGATTACAGGCTTGTTATTCAGTGATTTGTATTTGCCCACAATTAAACCCAAAAATATGATGTGAGAGTAGAAGTCAAGAAGACACATTTTATAACAACAACGTCACTCCTTTCTATCTAAGGAGAAAATCAAACAAAAACAAAAAAAGAGTGACAGTTTATTTGCCTTTTTATTGTGTGTGTGTCGGGCGTGCTTTTGTTTTCTGTCCCAGTCACTATGATGTTTTAACAGCACTGCCAAAGCTCTGGATTACATTTGGAATTTTGTTTGGATTATGAACCAATCTCTACCAATTTTGACGTTTTTCCCCTTGATGCAACTCGTCTGGTTCATTATGGGATGTTACTCGCCAGCAGTTGAGGTCACTCTCTGCCGGGTGTTTCTTCAAACACTCAGGGATGGCCATGCTAAGGTCAAAGTTACTTTAAGACCTCTTTAGATGCAAAACCACCTGTTGCTTTAAGTGTGAAATGAGGCGATGGAAGAAATAACCCCCCAAAAGACCAAATATAGAATTGCTCTCTGTCCCGTCATTTTGCGGTTTTTCTCTCACCGCCTGCGGCTTAATGTAAGTGTGCATTGAGGTGGTGGAAACACTGGCTGCTTTCACCATGTAGCGTATCCCATAAGCTTCAAGCTAAATGCACCTGTTGTCATGGCAGCTGCAGCTGTTATGTCAGCTTGACAGGCTCTCCGGTCCCCTGATGATGAGCAGTAATGTGGCTGGTTGTTTCCCTGCCACCCTCCAAACACAGTCCATGCCGCCACTCAGTAATTTTTCACATTTAATACTCCCTTTGGGTGCTTACAGCTTATCCTTAAAGCCGTGCAGTGCCATGACCGTAAATCACACAAACCCTTCATTCTGAAAAATACAAAGTATGACACTGAAGCCTGAGCCCAACTTCTTAGCGTCATTTTCAAGAGGCCCTATTAGGTTTTCCCTTTTTTGTATGTGCTATATGTAGGTTTGTGTGCATGTAAATGGTCTGCAAAGACTAACATTCAAACTCCATTGGACTCCTTTGTTTACTTCAGGAAGATACAGTAATGACGTCACTATGTAACACTTGTGCTTCTATTGGCTAGCGCTCTAATTCATTGTACGTGATTGGCTAAGGGGCGGGACATCTCTAAGCAGTTGACCAATCAAAACAGAGCCAGCTAGCTAACCAATCAGAGCAGACTGGGCTCCGGTTTCAGACAGAGGGTGAAAAGAGGTGCTGAAAAATAAAGAGATTTTTGGAAACATGTCCCAGTAGAGACACAAAATACAAATATGAACCTGAAAATAAGCACAATATGTCCTCTTTAATTCATCATATCAGGCATTATGAAGAAGACGGTCTTGTTGACAGCAATGATCTACAAAAGCCTCCCACATGTGCTTTTTTTTTTAACATCCTCTTCATCTCATATAGATGGCATGGTCTCTCTCCCCGCGTGTCCTTGTATCTCACACGTTTTCAACATTTCTGCTTCCTATCTTCTGGCTGTAATCCTTTCTCTGACCTCAGACCGTACTCCCGCCTGTCTTCACCTTAACGCCCCTCATTTTTCAAATCACCCCAGCTGAGTTGTGCAAGCCAAGTGTTGTATAGTTTTCATTTGGCCCCTCGATAGCTAGAAAAGCCACAGAAAGCTCCAGTTTTTCAGGTGATGGCTGGCAAATCTTTTTATGTCATTTAAAATATATTTTCTTGCTTTACACACTGAGAAAAGATTAAATGGTATTTTTTCAGATAATAAATGATTTCATACATGGACTGCATTTTAATGGTGCATTTTTCTTTGCACCACTCAAAGCGCTTTTACAGTTCTAGTTAGCTGTGTGTGTGTGTGTGTGTGTGTGTGTGTGTGTGTGTGTGTGGTGTGTGTGTGTGTGTGTGTGTGTGTGTGTGTGTGTGTGTGGTGTGTGTGTGTGTGTGTGTGTGTGTGTGTGTGTGTGTGTGTGTGTGTGTGTGTGTGTGTGTGTGTGTGTGTGTGTGTGTGTGTGTGTGTGTGTGTGTGTGTGTGTGTGTGTGTGTGTGTGTGTGTGTGTGTGTGTGTGTGTGTGTGTGTGTGTGTGTGTGTGTGTGTGTGTGTGTGTGTGTGGTGTGGCACGTGTGTGTGTGTGTGTGTGTGGCTCATGTGTTTGCACATTAGCATTCCTCTCTTTAACCACAACTCCTTCTCAGATGATGTGCTGCTCAGATTAAAACCATTGTCTAAGGAATTGCACTCAAGCTACTTTTTAATAGCTTCAGAAACTGCAGGACTTTGCTGGTTAATGCCCTTTTAAATCTTAGACTTCTACCAGATTAATCTACTAGATTAATTAGTGTCATGAGTGTTTTGGTGGCCCAAGGGGAAGGATTATTAACTGATTTGATCTGCTCAGACGATGGGGCATGGCACAGAAAAAGGACTACATTAGTGGAATTCTCTGACTCTTAAAGACCTCTGATCCTCCCATTGCGTCAATGATACCGCAATGGGAGTTAATGCAAATCCTCAAGGAGGTCATCTCTTTAAAGCTATCAACTCGAATCCAAATCTTCATTAACAACTGGCAAATGCATGCATAAATCTGTCTTATTTGCTGCCAGATGTATTTTCCTCCCGCTAACCTTCTCCTCTTTGCTCCCAGGATCATCTCCTTCTTCCTGCCACCAGCCACAACAAAGGAAGTCGACCGAAGATGTCAGTGGTGTTGCCAGCCATGAACATAAATGGTGAGCACTGCAGCACAGACGCAGTACAGTTGTGGGGGGTGGTTTGCTCAATCAACACGCTGTAACAGATGAGAGCAGGGCTGGGAGCAGATTCAGAAACACGTCTCCTCACAACAATGCATTACTGGTGGTGCAAAACACTTGCAAGGAAAACTCCTTTGACCAAAATAAGGAGAAGAAGAAGATGGACCTTTATTCAAAATTCAGTTTCCACTCTGTCATACACGCACATGCGTTTTTTATACAGGTACATACGGTACACACTTTTTACAACATACATATACAAATACACAGTTATATGCACACATGCACATGCAGTTGAGAGGCCAGAGCGGAGGCAGCCAGTCAAGGGCACCTCGGCAGTGGCCCAGGAGGTGAACTGGCTCCTCTCCAGTCACACTCCGTATTTTTGGTCCGATCGGGACGTGAACCGGCGACCCTTCGGTCCAAATTCCAATCCCCTACAGACTGAAACACTGCCATTTTGAATGTTAAGCCTATTTGAAGGTGATTTAGATAAGTGTTCTTTATATGCTTGTATTTTGTTTCCCAAAGATCTATTTGGAGTGTTTTGCCTGTTCGACTTAAATGGAAGTTTTTTTTCAGATTTTCTTTGCCATTACAATTTCTTTGACATCTGGCGTCTTGTTAGTGGAAGGTCTTTGGTCCCTACCTCCCTCTGAGCCCGTTGCAGTTTCTGTTATGTCCTTCAGACTCTGATTATCCTCTCTGTTGCATTTAGCTATGCTGTCAAGTGTCTGTGCAGCCGCTGACCGAACCACACAGACACAAACATTTAAAGAAAAGAGAAAAGCTTTTTCAGTGTGGTCATTTCCTTTTTGCTTTGATATTTTTTTAGATTGTTGAACAGAAAATATTGAACTTGAGATTTAGGCAGCAATGTTGATTTTGTCAGATTAACCAAAGTTATAACATTACACATATTATTATTTTATTAAATATATTATACGGTCAAGAAAATCATTTGAAAATGCCTTCTTGTTGGCACAACCTTGTAAGCACATTTTTGTCATCAACACTCAAATACATTTCTTGAATTGTTGGCTTTATATCCATCACCTTTACGGTTATAAAAAGCCAGACCCGTAGAGAAATAAGTCATTCAAAGACAACTCTACTTCTAAAGTCTTGAGTCTGGCGTTTTTGTCCGTCCCGATCTTGTTTTCTTACCACCAGAAGTGACAGGAGAAGTTAGAGCTATCGAACGTTGAACTAGACATATATTGACGACCAAAATCTTCCAATCGACTTTCGTGAATTATCATCCCAGCGTGGCAGGACCTGTCAATCACTAGGTAGCTCCACCCGAAAATACACACTGCTTTATCGTCTATTTTATTCTAAATTGGACCATCATTTACATAATGAGGATACGGCTGTGATAAAGAAGACTTAAAACTAGCATTGGAAACCCTAAACCCATGTTTACAATTTGTATTCAGGTAATAAATCAAGTAACAATCTAAAAAGAGCACGTTAAGGCACTTGCACATTGGCTTCACTTTGAAGATCCAGAGTTTCTGCGTGGAAGCAGCAAAAAAAAAAGTCCTAGCCAGTATCATCCAGACCTGTGGAAAGTAGGGAAATAAATAATGTGTGCAACTTTGATACGTTGGCCACCTACAGTTATTTGTTCTGGACAACAAGTATTCATGGTCTTTGCAACCTTGGGAGAATGTAAGTGTTTTGTTTTGAGCATGCCACACTAAGCATCCACTCTGATTGAATCACTTGATGTCTACAAGCTAGCATTAAAAAAATCAAGGATATAAAAACAAATACAAGTCCTCTTAAGGTTAAAGGGCATGGAGGAGGGAGCTCATCTAGACCCCTTCATTTCCTCTCGAAGGAACAATTGCCGCCCACAGCTTGTCATAGTGAGTGGCAATCAAAGTGCACTTGGTTGTGGTCAAGGGGAGGTGATATCCATCAGTCCATTTTAGATGCAATCACCCTTTACCTTTTTATTTGAACGTCTTACTTTTTAAAACGGAATGAAATGAAAGCACTTTAACACTGAAACACTGTGCATGAGGTACGCCTAAATATCTCAATACGTAATCGCCAAAAACCTTGGAGTTCGGTTGGTGCAGTTGTTGCCAATTTGTTTTATTTGGCGTAACACCAAAGTATGTTCTTGATTTCCATGAGCTCATCATAGCTTTTCTCTATAGTTCTTAGATCTGCTGGATACCAGATATAAAAAGTCAGACGATCAGAGATTTCATTAAAATTATATATTTTTTTATATCCAAATTCAGAAATGAGTTATCATGTGGCGTGATTTTGACCAAGCAGTGAACTGAAAGGAAACCTGCTCAAGAGGGATTGTGTTTGCAGGGTGTGAACAATTAGGAAGGCAGCCTGTTGTTGTTGGGTGTTTGCCTGGTGTTCGAATAACAGATCCTCTTGTTCCTCTGTTATCTCTGAGTCAGTGGAAAAGCACCAGCGACAGATTCGATTAGTCAACCAGCTCTAAGGGGAGTGAGTCAGTGGAATATGAGCTCTTAGGGAAGACATGGCCAGTGGGAAATAACTTTTTTTTGTTTCTGTGAGGGGGGTGTTAGAGCTGAAGATTGATGAAGGTAAACATTGTTCTCGTTGGTCTTGTCAGGGAGGAATGCTACGGTCCATGCTGGTCAGATGGCCCATTGAAATAGCTGCAAACAGTGAAATCCAAGACCTCCTTTTCAGCTAATTGATGAAATGACCAAACAAAGGTGGCATTCAGGGAGAGATATCAGGTCTGGAAAGATTCTTGTTAGCTCAGGAAAAGGATCTTGGATTTGCATGATCAGTCATGGATGCACGAAGTTGGCCTTAAGTGCAATTGTCCTATGTGCTTTTACTTAAAGGGGACCTATCATGCAAAATGCACTTTTGTACGTCTTTTATACATGAATATGTGTCCCCGGTGTGTCAGAAAACACAACCCTCTCTCTTTTCCTCCATACCCAAATCTCTAAAAACGGGGCTGCAACGGATCTGATACAGACTGATACAGACTTGAAATATCTCTGACGTCGGTAACAGCATGGTAACAGCATGGTAACAGCATGGTAACAGCATGGTAACAGCATGGTAACAGCATGGTAACATGACGCTCGTACCTCGCCCCCCTCCTTTGCAGGGGGGCGTGGTCAGCTGCAGCTCATTTGCCACAGAATCAGCCCTTGCAAAAACAGGGCTGGAAAAGAGCAAATAGAGCGAAATGAGGCATGGCTAAAATGCATGATCTGTTTGGTATTTTGAAAAAAAAACTTCACAGACATGTTTTATATCGGTATGGCCCTACAATATATTATTCAAATATAGCATGATAGGTCCACTTTAAAGTATTTTCCTGCTTGTTTCTGGTGCTAGTGTTCTTGAATCTATTATGCCAGCTGGATCATGTGGTATCTTTTAGAGAGAAGATTAACGGCAGTTTTATTTTAGCACAGATGCCGGTACGGTAGCTTCAGTTTCAGATGCCACAACAGCTCCTTCTGGATGTTGACCTGACAGAAAGGACTCTAGCGGTTGCTGTTCTCCACACCCGCTTTCAACATGTAAAGACCAATGTGTCGCACAGATGACAGCCTTCAAGTCACATCTGAGATTGATGTTGTCTTTGTCTGAAACTTTGAAGTGCGAACGTACACATTTAGATGGGAAAGACGCTTAGAAATGCAGGAACACTGCCCCTTCTCTGCAGCGTGATTGCTCCACGGTGGAGGATAATTCTTTCCAGCTCCCTGTTGCTGCTCTCCTTCAGGAATGCCTTCCTTCTCCAGTCACTAAATGGTTTTCATCTGGAGGAGATGGATACACTCTGCTTATATGGAGTGAGCGTTTGGGCTGTCGTGGTCAATAACTGATCATTGAAGATTTGAGACGTTGATGTAAGACGTGGCTTGTTTCTGTCTCGCCGCGTGTCCACAGTCCTCCTCCGCCTTGATTCTCTCTGAGAACATATCTGGCCGAGCGGTGGTTCCTCGTAAGGACTGAAGGGTGTGTTTATTTAAGGATCTCCCGAGTTTGAAAGTAACTCAATCAAGTGGAAGCGACATGTTTGGAGGGGAGGAATGTTTGGTAGATGACATCATCTACAGGTGGATGGACCGTGGCAGACGCACTGCAGTCGACAGTATGTTTGCCTCTCATGTGCTCTGTAGCCAACAGGCAGCTTTCAGTGGGGGTTCAAGGTAAAGCAACGCTCCACTGAAGGAGTCAGGGGGTCAGATTTTCCTACTCCTCTAATCCAAACAAACATGTATCAATGCTCTGAAAAGAACCCTCTTACCAACCCAAATGTTTAACCCTTCTGATCCTTGGAAAAACAAACTTAAGCAAGTGATTATTTGCCTCAGTGACATCATTCTCAGTGCTTAAAGCTAGTATTAGCCATTAATTGATCTGTTTACCTTTGGCTATACTGCCATCTGAGCACCTCTAGTGCTAATTTGCCAATGTTAGCATGCCCAGCTAAGATGTTGAATATGGTTTGTAGTGTACCTGCTGAACATCAGTATGTTCTGTGTGTTAGCTGATGTTAACATTTAGCTCAAAGTGCAGTGTCACAGAGCTGCTAGCAGTCTTTTTACTGCCTGTAAGATTATTTTCCAAAAGTAAAACATGGTTCGTTGCTCAACATTTGCTTTTGGCTTGCATTCTATTGTAGAACGTCCCAATCGATAAAAGATGAGCATATCGGCAGACTTAAATACACATGATCTGAAAGTGAATGTAATCGCCTTCCTATTAGATCCGCAATTATTTGATTGGCCTTGTAATTTTGTAATAGTACTTTCTGATGAATTCCTTCCTTTTGGACATTAAAACAAAGCTCCCCTCATGAACATGTCTTCAGTGTCTGTGCCAGTCTGGCAGCGACCATCCTCTCGAGATGCTCTCTCAAGTTTCCTCAGATGTCTTGTTGCCAGACATCAGGCTTTTCTCAGCACACACCAGCTCCCTGTGTCGCTGGGACTTTCTGGAACATCTCCAGATTGGCACCAGTAAAAGGGGGGAGGAGACCATGCAGAGAGGACGGTAGAATCTGGCAGCTTCTTCAAAGAGCTGCCGGTTGGAAGTGTGTGTTGGTGTTAGTGTGTGTGTGTGTGTGTGTGTTGTGTGTGTGTGTGTGTGTGTGTGTGTGTGTGTGTGTGTGTGTGTGTGTGTGTGTGTGTGTGTGTGTGTGTGTGTGTGTGTGTGTGTGTGTGTGTGTGTGTGTGTGTGTGTGTGTGTGTGTGTGTGTGTGTGTGTGTGTGTGTGTGTGTGGGTGTGTGTGTGTGGTTTCTCTATTGAAGCTTCTCGAGTTGTTGGCTGAATAGAATTGAGAAATGTTGGTCATTTGAATAATGGTGACAATTATGGCCTACATATTACAGTGCAATTGTTTTAATTGTGGGGGATTTGATGATGGGTACAGTAATCTGATTAAGGGGTGACATAACATCTACAAATAAAGAGATAACCATATAAATCTTAATTTGTTTAACACAATATTGACATATCGTCACCCTATAATGCTGAACATGTTAGCAAACCGGTGGCACACATCATCAAACAAATGGCAACATTACAATTCATTTGGAGACGAATTTCTGGTCACCACCTGGTTAAGTCAATTATTCACTTTCCTTTAAGCTCTGTTTGAGTCCCCACCTACTCCAGATATCTGGCTCTTGAGCTGCTAAATCCTCCATTCACCAACATTTCACTAAAACTAACATTGATTACCTCTTTCATTAGGGGATACTTAAAGGAATACATTAAAGGTCCCATGTCATGCTTTTCCGGTTATTACCCGTCCCCTTGTGTTATGAAGGTTTTTATGCATGTAAACGGTCTGCAGAGTCACAAACCCTCAAAGTACACCCTGTAGCGAGTAAAACTCTAACACAGAAAATACCTGTCTATGCTGCCCCAGAACGCCTCGTTGGACATTTCTCTTTTTCCATTTTGTTCTTCCTGGGTATGGTGACGTGACCATAATGGACCAATCCGTGGAGCTTCTCACACACACTCTCTCAGCGGCGAAACTGTGGCGCGCTTACACTGTAGGTGCGCCGCATTTGGGGGTGCAGGGGGGTGGGGTTCGGGTGCTAGTGGAGCCTCGCAGATGGGGGTGCTGCAGCCCCCTCAGCACCCCCCCCCCCCCCCCTTCCATTCGCGATGTCTCGCTGTCTCGCAGAGCCCAAGCAGCAAGCAGGAAATGAACCCAGCTCACACTGTCCTCTCCTCGCAGCAGCGAGCCGCGCAACGTCCCGCCAACACGGCAGCCAGACCCCACGCAGCATTCTCATCTGTTTGTCATTACTGGTGTCATTTTTTGGTTGCTAACAAACGCCATTGTAAAACATAATCATTGATGTTCCGCTGTAACGGTGGTAGACTCATCAGAACAGAGTGGGCGAGCTGACCAATCAGAGCACAGGGGGGGGAAGGAGCTCCAACAAGCCGTTTAGGACAGAGAGTGTATACACATACTATACAGAGATGCTGTATGAGAAACCAATGTGAGTTTGGAGAATTGTACACTATAAATCTATTCTAGTAGACCTCAACAATGGAATTATGATCAGTAGAAATGGCCATGACATGGGACCTTTAATGTAGTTAAGACATATGTATATTTGGCAAAACAATTATTATATGGGAAGTTGGGAAACCAATGGATGAGCAAAGTGTAGGGTTAGGGTTAGGTTGGCTCAGTTTAAAGCTTTTTAAAAAATATTTATTTAGCGCATTTATTAAAGCAGTAATAAAGCTAGAAGTACAAATTAATTTCCATATTTGTTCAAAGATTTCTTGCTACATTCTTCCATGCCTGTATTTTTCTATATGGCCATTAGAATTTACACTATATCCATTATATTCTTCGTCCTCATGTGTTGTACATTTGCATTACACACATGACACTTTTCCACTCGCTGCTTTTCTGTTGGGCTTCTATTTATTTTTGGATATAAATGACCTAAGCGCTGGTAATGTCAGAGAAGTTTATTTTGAACTGAGCAGAATCTAAAGGTTCATCTGTGGAGCAACGACAGGACCTTGACATTTGAGGGGGAACAATTCAAATGTGATCTCATCAAGCAGTAAGGAGATGCACAGAGAATCACTTTTCCAGCTCGCCTTCAGACAGAGGCCTAATTTGAAACCGACATAGCGTGACAAAATCCAAAACCCCAGGATGACTTCCAGAGATTTCTGTTGGAGCACTGAAGCCATTTGAAAAGTTCCAGTTTCACTGCAGGTGCAAAAGAGAAAGTTCAGCAGCAGATTAAGTCATACTCGGCTTTACATCTACTCACCATTTAATGAGATGAACAGCCGTGGAGTCTTCTGGCGGCAGAACGGGCTATTGTATTGTCACTGCAGGATCTGATGACATCTTTGAAGTAAATGTCTGTGGAAATCCTGCAGAATCAGAAGAAGCTGATGTCTTGTGCAGGTGGCTGGAAAAAAACTGCAGCTTTTTAAACAACTTTGCAGGCATTTTAAATACAGCTCACTAAAACTGACGAGGTGTGTTGCTCCATATGGGGAATGTTGCTATCATATGGACACGGTTATATAGGAAGCGACACGTTTTAAAGTTTTCTGTTAATACAAATCCACAAGGGATCCCTCAGCATGCTGGAAGCTTTCTCTAGTGAGAAAGCGTGTCCACTCTAAAATATGTTCTTCCCCCTGACGGAGCAAATTTAGGCTGTGGGAGACCAGGAACCATTGTCTCACGTCCAGCATCTCTGTCCAAACTTAAATTTCCCGAGATAAAGCCAAAGCCGTTTCTTATTTGTAGGTCACACGTCAGGATGACCTTGGGAAGGACATGGATTCCTCTCTTGATAACAAGCTATTTGTTTATTTTGTGGTTTGTTGCCATCTCTGGGGTTTTTCCTAACACAATAGTCGGAGTCATCAACTCCGAGTTTCTTATGTTCTTCTCTAAATGCAACAAGAAGCCTGAAGGATCCTGAGTCTCTCTTCCTCTCTCCTAAACTCTTCTTCTCTCCTCTCAAATGTGCATGTCCTGCTCTTGTTTAGGCCTGTTTTGTTTATCTCTAAGAAGGAGAAATCCAGATTTTGACTCAGCTCTGGACGCCATGTGTGTCCGGGCCTCCACCTTTCTTTCTTTAGAGCTAGCTGCAGTTTTCAGCCCCCCCAACTGCCTCAAACAATACTCCTTTACAATCCCAAATCACTCTCTTATCATGTCTCTCTGCATCCAGTGTAACAAAAAACCTGCCATTGATTAGGGTGACGAATACAGTTTGGCGAACTCTATGTGTGCCTTGAGGAGTTGATTAAATCTTCTGCTGTAATATAAACCCACTGCTGACAGAGCAAATACACACTAGAATAATTTATCCATGCACTAAAACTGACATTCTGCTTCCTTTCCTGCCGTTACAGACAGCATCATAAGGGACAAAGACTACGAGGTGATGATGCAGATCGACTGTGAGGTGACGGACACGAGGATCATCCACATCAGGTCGTCCAGCATCCCGCCTCTGCTCCGGGTGAATCGCACCGAGACGTTTTACCAACACTCTCCGACTGACAGCCAGGCCCCGCCTCCTGTCAATGTGCTAATGGGGTCTGCTTAAGACCAACAACAGCACCTGTTATTATATATAACTCACCAACAAAACCCATGAGGACAAACAGAAGATGGGGCTTCAGTTAACACTCTTTTTGTGTGATACATTTTTTTTTTAAACTCCCGCTGACTAGAGGTTTTTTATTTAGATTCTAATGCAACACAAAGGTAGCTCAAGTGGTCAGGACTAGTCCACTGTACTCTTTATCCGGGCAAATATCCGGAGGTAATCTATAATAGGGTCTGCTTGCTCCTTGTGTGGCATCTCTGACTTCTCCCTGTAACTCCAGATGCCCCACATAAGGGTAATTGCTTAGCGACAGGGGGCCGAGCATTGAACCCTGAGTCACCCCGTCATAACACAAATACTTGTGCAGCTCTCCTCGTGTCCACTCTTTCTTTTTTAGTTGTTAATTTTGGGAACAAGCCACTAAGCCAGAGGAGAACACTGAAAAATGAGTTCTGGGATGGTCTCTGCAAGAGATGCCAGATTAATTACAGGCAGCAACCTCAGGAAGTCAGGTGATCTGTGAAAGCTAGCAGGCTGTCACTATGTTGTTGGCTGGTTTCCATTGGTTTAAGGATTTCAGGCGCTTTGTTTTTAAGCATTGTATGATGAAGAATTTAGTTTTTTTTGCACTGTGCTTCTCTTATATTAATAACAGATTCAGCTACTTTACATATTTATTTCTATTATGACAGTTATACCAACTTCTGTACTGTGATACAATTCACTAATTTCTGCTGTCAAAAGTCTTCTGTAAAGACTTGATCTTATTTTGTCTGATTGTGCTTTTGTGAAATGTGTATTCAAATTGACCACACAAATCTAAATGAGTGTACATACATTTATAAAATGGTGGATGGGAAAGAAACGTTTTCATTAGAACTAGGAGATTTTTTACTTGGTGGACATCTTGAGATATTCATTACATTTATGACCCCTGCCCCTTTTTATATGAATATAGTCTATGCCTTAAAAGTTGAGCTAAATGTTTGACATTTAACTTATTTTGAGTCCAGACGTTTCCGTCCACGGGCTGAATTGCACTTTTATTATGTGCACTTAGGCCTGAAAGCGCAAGTTATTTTGCATGATGGAGTTTTATTATCAGATTCGTTGTAAAGGTTGGCACTAAAAATGCACAAACTTGTAAGATAAGAATATAAGGTCTGGCTTCAAAGGCCTCATATTAATGTTTCTTTAAAATTGATATTGAAAAACAAATGATACATCATCAGAATAAGAACCTTTTTGTATATGTTGATTAACAAAAACATACAATACTTGTACCTAAAAGTGCTTTTTTTGTTTGTTTCAGCTACACAATTGTGCAATGGGTTAAGCTTTAGCTCAACAGATGCACATAAAATACTCTTTACTTGTGTAATCTTAAGCCAGGCCATCTGTGTCTATATATTTTTTCCTTCCTTTGAAAATAAAATCGATTCACCGCAATGTTTTCACTGCAGAACTTTGGGAGAAAGCAAGAGTACAATTAAAGAAGCTTGTGAGGTTTTGTTTTTTGTGAAAAATACCAAAATAAACACTGGATTTTACATTTCCTTTGTCCGTATCCTTTTTGGGGAAATTGTTTTACTGCATTGTTATACAGTATACAAGTACAAGAGTCTTTTTGTTGTCTCTAATGCCTCAATTTACGTCCATTGAAAAAATCATTGTTTGTATTCATAATTTCTGCCTGGATTAGATTAGCCATATAAAAAAGACATGTTTAAGTATTTCCACATTTTATTGCAGTCTCCTCTCAACAGTCTCACAAGAAGGGAATAAGTGCTTTCACAAGACAAAGGTCAACGGCAAAACCTGTGATAGTATCATTAAAACAGGATCTGTGGCATATGATGCAAAGGAAAAGGAATACAAAATGTGTATAAAACAAAAACAATTATTGAAATGGGGAATTGTTAAGAGTATGTGTTTGTGAGTTATTTGACCCAAGATACAAAATAGTTCTGAACCCTTTCTACATAGTTTAGCTCATTGGGCTTTTTTACAGAATTGCAGTATATACATTACATCAAGATGCATTGACTGAGGAATCAGACTTAGGGTTAACAAATCTTAATAGGAACAAAACAATTTTCTCAAAATACACGAAAGTATATTTGTACATTTGACCCCCCTTTGTCTCCATCCTGAAGGCCATCTGGACTGATCCACAATCCATTCAAACCATAGTTCACTTTTTAATATAACTACCATCGACCCCGTATTAAGGGTCTACAAAGGCGAACTTGATGTTATATGTGACCTGGTGTCCATTGTCCCACGCATACAAAACCCCCTCTTTTGGATTGTAGTCAATCTGCGTGGTGTAGGTGTAGTTGTTGGTGAAGGGCATTCTGGGAGTCATCTGAGTGTTTGTGTGCGTGTCGAAGGCGTATTCCAGTCTGGCGTCCTTTATGTTGTAGCTGTCAACAGCGTACAGGACGCCGCACACGATGAAGCAGTTTCCGTAGTGGTTTCTCCTGAGCCCGGTCCTCCAGGTGGTCTCCCTCTGCATGCTGAGGTCCGAGGGGTTCAGCCGACTCAGAACGACCACTTCGTGTAAGAAGCCCTCATTGTCCAGAGCCGGGTAGATGATCCACAGGCCGCTTTCATCTATGGCGAAGTCGACTTCTGAGTGACCGCGCCACTCCCCCAGCGACGACGTATCTCCCACCAGAGCATCGTGCAGCATCGTCCAGGCGGCCACGTATCGCAGACGCAGGTCAAACTTGATGATGTCTCGGGAGAAGGCGCGGTTGTAGAAGAAAGCCCCATTGTAGACCACATGGCCAGTGCCGATCCAGTTGTAAGGAAGCTTGTATGATGTGGAAAAACGTCCTAGAAGGGACCAAGAAGAACGGATAAACATCAGATTTATTAAAGGTCCTCTATTATACTGTTTTCCATCAATATAGTAAAGGTCTCAGATATATACAAAACATGTCTCTGAAGTGTTTGGCTCCAAATACCAAACAGATCATTGCAGCATCCCATAATCCCCTCTGTTTCAGCCCTGTTTCCAAAGTGCTGATTCTGTGTCTGTTACTTTAGATGAAAACAAGGAGCCACTCCCCACGCCCCTCTGAGAGAGATTTGGTTAGAAAGAAACACAATAGGCGCTTTCACACTGCGGTACTTTTCCCACAAAGGTTCATGTGAACTCTTTAGTTTGCATGAACTAAGTACAGATCGCGTTCACACTGGAAAAAGTCCCTGGGGGAGGATTAGGCAAATGAAGCCGCTGACGTCACTTGTTCTTCTTCTGCTTTGGGTTTACTGGCAGGCCGCAAACAACTTCACGCGTATACTGCCGCCCAAAGTCCCCGGCCCGGAAGTCCCCGGAGTTGGGGACTGGCTTCAGTAGAAGCTGCTGGGAGTCCCAGCAGCTTCTACTGAAGCCTTCCGAGTAAATCGCCAGAACGCCGACACCTCCTCATCTCCACCGCTCCCATGTTTTATTTTGTGTTGCCATAAGTTAGTCTCTCTGCGTTTCTGTGCTGGGCTAATGCTAATGCTAATAATGCTAATGCGAGGATAATAAAATGGCGGCTTCACAAAACTTTTTGGGAGTTTTACGGGGCGTGGTTTGCAATCCGCCCAGCCAATCAGAAATATAGCTCTTTTCTCACAAGAGAGCCGCACGAAAGTCCCTGCTCTAGCGGGGACTTTCGTGGGGGTAAAAAGGTTCACATGACCTAATTTTAGTACCGGCTCTTTTTGGTGTGAACGCGATAAAAGAGTTCACATGAACTAAGTTCACATGAACCTTTGTGGGAAAAGTACCGCAGTGTGAATGCGCCTAATGGTGCTCGAGGAGGAGATTCAGGTGAGAGGGGGGGGGGGGGGGGGCGGTTACCTTGGTTGCTGATTGGCTAATGGTTACACAAGCCAAAAACATTTTATGACATCATAAAGTGGCCAAAATCTGATCAGCTCATTTTCAGACAGGTTTTTATATAAATGGATCAGGACAAAAAATGAGTAAATCTTTTTTCCTGAAAAGTCAGAATCAACACAAAAAGTGGATTTTGCATAATACGTGATCTTTAAAGCAAAAGGAAAACAAAGATAAAGATGACTTACAGGTGAATACAAGACCAGGCTCTTACCTTGTTTGAAAACCTCAAGGTTGCGGAACTCCAGCAGGTTATTCCCGTAGTAGAAGTTAGTGACATATATTTTGTCATTATCCGACTTTGGATCCTTCATCCAAGCTCCTTCATTCCTGCCAAAGGTGTTGTGAGTTACTGGTTCGGAGATGGTCGCCAAAGTGTCCTTACACTCCCCTGTAAAGAGACACAACAAGTGAGGATTTAGAAGCAGATAAACATCATTCAGACGTACGTCACAGCGTCTGAAAATAATTAGAGGCTTTTATTTTAACCAGCTTGGATGACAGGGAGGGTGTGGTTGCCAGTCACAGAACAATATCAATTCATCTTTCAAAAAATTATGGAAAACTTTAAGGCTCTTTCCATTTGGTATTTCCATCGAATCAGAGCAAATGTTAACAAGAAAATTAAAGGCGTTCTTATTGTTTGGCAATATATTTGGCATTAAGATGTTGTACAAAACATTCACAGATGTTTTTTTAAGCCACTGGCATTGTGGCTTTAGAGTTAGGAATGTTATTTGGTTATTTGGTCTGTCAGTCCACCAATTGACTGAAAAAGTAGTTGGAGGATAGCCAAGGAATTGTTTTCAGACATTTGATTCCCAAGAGGGGAACCATGCTCACTGCTAGTTTCCCATGACTTTTCTTCTGGCACTAATATGAGGTTGCCATTTCAGTTTTTAAAATAAATAAATGTCTTAATAATAATTGGGGAAATTCCTGTAGGTGCCATAACACTACTTAGCTCAAGTTCATTATTTGTATTATTTGTAGGTGCCATAACACTACTTAGCTCAAGTTCATTATTTGTATTATTATTATTATTATTATTTACGTCACCTTTATTTGCTTGTTGAGCACTTCCAGTAATTGTCACATGGTTTATAAGTCACCTGTTTGATGTGCTGTCATTTTTTCTGTTGACCGTTTTGTCCATAGTTACTATGTTTTGATTTTGTTTATTAAACATCCTTAAAACTATATTGCTTCAACATGGACTTTCTTTTCGAAAACGCGTCACAGTTTAAAGCCAAGTTTAGCCTCTCGGCGACTCAAATGTAACTGGGGATTGAGCCGCCACAATTCCCATAACATGAATAGATACTAGGAATACGAAGTAGGGATGCCAGCGATTATTCGATGATTCGATTAATCGTTACAGTCTCCATAATCGAATATTATTTTAAAAAATCGATTTTATTTATATATTTTTTTATTATTATTTATGTTTTTTTTTTTTTTTTTTTCTGGCTTAGTTTCAACCAAAATATAGGGGGGGTCGGTCGATTAATCGATTATTATTCGCCAGGGCTGCCGAATAATCGATTTTGATCATGGTCAGTTTCTGGCAACCCTAATATCCTGCTATTTTCTGTATGTTGCGCCATCGCCAGATCAAATTATTCAATAATCCAAAACTTGGGTTTATGACCAAATTCCTACACAAATAGTGGCATTCCCATCAGCATCCCCAGAATTCAGTTTTAAGAGCTGATTAGTGTGCTAGCATGCATGCTAACCCACTAGACCAAAACAGTGATAAAAAGTGTACCCTCTTAAAATGAGCTTGTTAGCATTGTGAGCATGTTAGCACTTAGCTCAAAACACAGTAGTACAGTATCACAGAGCTGCTCATACATTTTTGTAGATGTTTCCTTTAAAAGTGTGGATGAATAAGGTATTGCTTACATTATTCAACATAAATAGTCAACTTACCAGGTTGTTTGGGGCGAGATTCCTCCTGCCTTTGCATTGGCTCTTCTGATTCCGGGTTTCCATGCTCCCTCTCTTCCTCTTCCCAGCTAATCTTGTATTTCTGTCTGCCTGGACCAGCCTGCCTTGTAGTGGTGGTTGTGGTGGTAGTGGTGGTAGTGGTTGTTGAAGCAGAAGTAGTCCCAGGTGTGGTGAAAGGCAGCGTAGTGGGGGGAGGCAAAGTCATCAGTCTCTGTGTGGTAGTCATGGCTGGAAAGTAGATGGATTGAGTTTCTTCTTCTGGTGTTGTGGTAGCAGCCTGTGTGGTGGTAGCCGGTGTTAAAGCTATTGTAGGGTGTGTTGCTGCTAAAGTTGGGGCAGCACGAGTTGTAATGGTCATAGTGGAAGTGGTACTGGTAGTTGAAGCCTCTGTGGTGGGGTTTGGGGTGCTTGAATGAGCTGCAGTGCTACCAGGTAAAGTCAGGATTTGGTCTTTCACCGCCAGGGTAGAAGTTCCCACCTTTTTGGTTAGTGTATCTCTTGTGGTTGTAATTTGAGACGGTTGTGTTGGGTTCATTGTAATTTTGGTTGTTACCTTGGCAGTGGTGCTTAAAGAACTGTTGCCAGGTTCAGTCATCAAAGGGATTGTTTGCTGAGTGACTCTTTGAGTTGTTTGAGGTGCAGTGTCTGCCGTCTTGGTTTTTTGTGTGGTAGTAGTCGGTCCAAACGTGATGGCTCTTGTTGTGGTTCCAATGGCGCTGGGGAACTCATACATTTTTGAGGTGGGCTCAGTTCCTTTCGGTTTATTAGATGGTTTTGTTTCTATGGAACCTTGTGAAGGACCTGTTGTCTTTGGTCGAGATGATCGTGGTCCTGCTCTCGTCTTTGGGCGCGGGGGTCTGTGTTGAAGAAGATTCTCCTCAATGAAGAGGTTAACGGGTCCATCACCACTGAATCCATGATATTCAAACACTAAAAAAGGGGAAAGGAACAGATGTGGTGAAATAATCTGAGCGCAATGAGACAATGAGAAATGATTTTTGTAAAGTAATCTGTGTCTGGAATCACAAATCTGTTCAAACAAACAGTTAGAGCCACAGTATTGAACCCATTCGTAAATAGTTGCAGGGCATCTGCATCCAGCAGCTGACAGATGGCAGACGGTTTAGAAGCACTAAGCTTTTATGTTCTGACATTCTCTGAAATTAATTAATGTAATGTGATAATCCATCCAAACTATGATCCTGTTTCATGGTTAGCAGAGTGTGGACGTATAAGGGTAATTCTATACTTTACCTTTTAAGGAAAGCTGTAACTGGGATGATCACATTTACTTCTGTCCGTTTTAATGTGCAGATTTTAAAAGAAAATTTGAGTTTTTTTCTGCTTTTAATCCATGGCATTTAAGCCGACTAAGGGGGTCTGTACTTACAGTTCTCTCCGGGATCCCCGTCATCCGCCACCATCGGATCTGGCTCAGATTTATAAAAAGTCATTCCTCTGATGATCATGCCGTTGGGGCCGGTCTTCAGCACCTGAGCAGCCTCCTTGTTAGCCGGGGTCTTCGAGGTTACCAGAGGTTTGACCTCAATGATCTGAGTAGAACCATCTGTCTGTAGAAAGGACGGATTTTCCCCAATAAACTGCTCCTCATGCTTTTCCTGTTTGGACAGATGGATACTGACTTAATATGAGGCGTGAACAATTCAAACTAAAGCATTAGCGTGAGACCAATCTGTTTGATTAGATGCCCTACATGTTTTTCAATATCAACAAACATTTGACTAAAGAGTGTTATGAGAGTTAGATGCACTTTAATGGTTTGACCTAGAATACAGGGGAACATACTTAAAACATGATTAAGAAAGTTTCACAATTAAATACACTTATAATATACTGTTGACAATGCACTTGCTTGGCAAATTAAAGCATGTTACTATTACCAAGAAACTATATCAAGATTGCATTTGCAAAACATGAACCAAAATGTCCACTTTGGAACACTGAAGTACCCTCAACAACGTCAAATGACTTTTTTCCAAAAGCAAATGTATTTATTTATTTATTTGATTAAAGGGGCCCTGGGTCTATGAAATAACAGGCCAAGAAACAGGTACTCTGACTATTAGAGGGACTATAAACAAACCAAAATATTTGCCACATTATCTGGACCAATTTATTTGGAAGACAATTTGTAAATCCATGTTGTAGGTTATATTTTATCATGCCATGTGCCAACTGTCTTAAGAACAGTAGATCAAACTGCAAAAGTAGGTCCGAAAACTGTTTAAAACTGACGTTTTCTCCTACAATTTACTTTCTCTTCCAAATAAATTTGGTTAATCTGGGGTTTCATATTCTCGTTGATCTCCATTGGACCTGATCTCCATTTGCAGGATTGTTGTTATACTTTATTGTCTTTGTATCAATGTTCTGGCTGTAACTTTGTGATGTTTTTTTTAGTGTCTTGGTCTCTCTTAAGAATGACTCTGTGTCTCATTGAGATTACCTGACTAAATAATAAAACCTAACCTGGATATGCAGTGGCCTTGCTCACCTCACTGAGTCTCCTCGTGTCTTGATGTTGTGGCGAGGGAACAGTTGGAAGGCTTTCAGTCGCTTTTGTCTGGATTGAAGGACTTTCCTGGGGCTTCACCTCATCCACATGGTTCAGAGACACGGCCTTCATGTAGTCATGGACACATTGAGTTATTAACAGTTGTAATTTACATGTTTTTGAATGAGAAAATAGGCTGCAATGATTTCATGTATATGTTGCCTGGCTAAAACACTTCAACTTTTGTAACCTTTTCAAATGTTACACAAGGACAGACACAGCTGGAACTAGTAAGATTAATCATAGATGCACTTGATTTATCCATTAATTGTATCACTTATACAGATGTGTTTCCCATGCCAAGACAAGTCTGTGAAAAGAGCAATTTCAGAACCAAATGCAGCGATTGGCCTGACAGTTTGTGCAGTGTTGTTTTCCCCATGTCAGGCAGACTAAGAGTGACACATACAAAACATTTTCCATGCAAATATAGAAATGTTTTGGACAAAGTTTGACTGAGGCTCAAGCCCTGGCCAGCTGCTGTTTGAAGTTGTGAGAAAACACCTATAAAAGCATGGTATTTTTTAATTCTAATCTAGTCTTAAAATCAAGTTATCCAAAGAATAATATATCTATTGTTTTAATGCAATGTCTAATAACATTTATATTAAATTCTGACAAGGGTTTTACTGGACATACTGAGTCCAGGAGTCACCTAAACGCACCTGCTATCCCCCCAGTTTGTGTAAATGTTATACCAACATATTTGCTAGATATTTTCAACAAAAATGCACACTGTTACTCTACCTTTTCCATGTTGTCCATGCGATCCACTAGCTTATTGGTAATGGAGTGCAACTTGAGTAGATCCATCCCATAGAAGGAGCCCTCCAGCAGCTCCAGGATGGTGGAAAGCTAAAACGATGAAGTGGATTCTGTCAAAAGGCTTTACTAATTCAGACATGACATGCTTAAAATAGGTTTATGCCAAGCCAATCCAAACTTTCTGGATCAAGTGTGGGACTATCCTTTCCTGAATTTGATCTAACATTCATAACTCCAGTGATCCATAACTCTATAGAAACCAACAGGTGGGCTAAACAGCAGCTTTCAGTGGGCGCTGCAGCGTGGGAACATATTTGTATCGGTGGGGAATGGAGCAGACGACACTTCACCTTGACATTCTCTTTCCCAGCCTCTCTAAGTCTTTTCAGCCTGTATTCCCCCTCACACGGGTTGACTGCTGACGGAGGAGCGATGCAGGCGCACTTGCACTCTGGTCCAGATGTGATAGTCTCCACGGTGTAGAAGTCCTGCGCGGTGGCGCTCCCTTCTTCTAAACGCCGGCAGGCGCTCCTGCTCATGGGTCTGACAACACATTTACACCGACAGTCAGCGCCTTCCGAGAGGGCTTTCACTTTGTCATAATCACCCAGCAGCTACAAAGAGAAGAGCAGGAATGTATTTCAAACCAAGATCAATCAAAAACTTTTACGCACGAAATTATAAAATGTTCATAGAACAAAGAACATTGATATTTCCTCCTACCTTAGACAGGATGCTCTCCTGGCCAGCTATCTCCTCCTGCAGACCCTCCTTTTGCTCTGCCTCGAATTCTGACCTGGGATCTGCACCCAAGATCTTTGGCGCTGCAGAGCACCATGGAAACAACGCACAGCACATGCCGATGATAATGCATAATTTATACATTGTGAGGCTCACAGAGCACCGACAAAAAGAAAGAAAAATGTTGCAAGTATGCAAGCAGGCACAGCCTGTTGCAAATCACTTTAGCTGCCAACACGGCTGCATAGCCTACTTCTGGCTCCAAAATCAGACAGGTGTATCCAGAAAAGCCATCAGACTGAGGGATTAAGCTTTATAGCGCGAGGCCATCCTGTCCATCGTCGGTGATCGCAGATCAGTGTGGAGAGAGAGCAGCCGGCATCTGCAGCGGAGCGGCGGCAGGAGGCGGACCTGATCGCCGCGAGGAGGAGTTCAACTGCATCAAGCCACCTCTCTGATATAAAACCCACATGTGAATATCAATAACAAAGAAAAAACACTAAACATTTTAAACTCATCTTGATTTGTATGAATGATTCAACTTAATATGTAAGGTCTTCAAGCATATTTCGAGGTCAAATACAAAGTAACCTGGTTACTAGTGATGAGATTCCCAGCAGCAAAGTCTGAGCTGTGGTTCTGCCGCCCTCTAGCTGCAACACGGTTCATTACAATGACAACAAATCAAGTATTTGAAATTACCTGTTTATTTGCACTTTAAGGCACATTCAATGTTTTCAATTATTTCCAAGACAAATCTATATTAAAAAATAGATTCAGTTAAGGCATGTGGTGCCATGTAGGTTTGAGGATCGCAGAAAAATACATTTGTAGTGAAAATAAAAAAAAACCTGTGTTGTGAACAGACTGTATATATAAAGGTTGTGAATCAGAAAGGAAAGCGCTGTTTAATCAACAAATACCCGAGGCGAATCACTTCTTATTCTACAAGCAATCAATATAACTACATTTTATAAGATTAAAGCACCACAGCCTTATTGTCAAACAATTTTGACCCCAATTTATTTGACAAATAACATTATCTTCATAATATTGTAAATGTCTTATTTCTTCTTGATACTTTCATCTGTGTTGATATTTAATATAAATTATGCAAGAAACATTTCGGTCTTTAAAACACTGCTACTAGCCTCAGAATGTCACGCAGCGAGACATGTGGTGATATTGGAGTGCTTAGACTAAATGTTCAACAGTGTCTATTTATTCCCTTAGCACCCTTCAAGTTCAATCCTTCTCTCTGCCGCCACAGGCAGGATGAGATGAGAAATACGACTCCACAGTCCACTGTACTTGTCGAGGTCCATCCTGTCGAAAGCAACAGGATGGCCGTCAGAGAGGAACTTCTTCTGGAGATGGTCGTCCACCATCTCCTCCACAGTCGACAAACGAGCCTCGGCAGGGATCTCCTCTTCCTCCCCCAGCAGCACTGTGAAGATCAGACAGGTCTTCTTGTAGGCGGCGTTCTCATGGTCGCAGTAGCGATAAAAAATAAGCGTGGAGCCTGGGGGCAACTCCTCGAAGCGGTTAATGACGGCTACGGGTTTGTCTCCTTCGAAGGCTCCCTGCAGCTTGCTGTCGATGTCCAGCTTCACCTGGTCGCTGTCTTGGCTGGCTCTGCTGACTCCGTCGATGTGGAGGACGGAGGCGTTGAGGGAGGTGGAGAAGGCGGCGGCGAGGCTCTTAGCCAAGCAGGTTAGAGTCCGCTCAGCCCCGTGTCCCGCGGTGAGGATCAGGCTCACCGGCTCTGTGGGCTGGGCCGTCTGCAGGTGCCTCAGCAGGTGGATCTGGCTCCTGTTCCAGAGCACCTCACGCTGGTTAGGGAACCGAGTCTTTACTTTTTCCAGCTGCCTGAGGAAGATCTGCCGCTCATCGTTTTTCTGAGGCGGCATCTCGGGTTCGTAGAAATACTGTCCCACGATGGCGACACATAACAGCGCTAAAGCTAACATCAGGTAGTTTCCCACTCCTGTGAAGAGAAGGCACATGTGTTGTGTCAATGAGTTCTTAATAAGTTACTCAAAATTGAGTGTCAAAAAATGCATGCAATGTGAAAAAAGACAATCACTGAGAAAGTAAGGTCTCGTAAGGAACTTGTGTTTTACTTTTGTTATTTGCTCAGTTGTGTTTTTCAAAGTGGGGGCCCCGACCCCCCGGGGGGCCGCCAGGGGGGTCACTCAAAGTTTTAGGGAAACAGGTTTTTTTTTTAATGTTATTAATAACTACATATCTATCAATCTATGTGTCCTTTGATGCCAATCTTTTCATATTTTTTGTTTTTGAATCACACGACCGCCCTTCAAGCCAATCAGAATTGAGCTGCCGCTACTGCGAGTGAAAATCTGCTCAGCTTTTAGAGCAAGTGAGAGCTAGTGAATGTTTCGCTCTGCAGCTGGATGAGAGCACGGATGTTTTGCATACAGAATTGTTTGCATACATCAGATTTATTTCAGAAGACAACTTTGTTGGGGAAATATTATTTTGCAAAGCACTGGAAGGTAGGACCACATGAAGAGACATTTTCCAAGTTTTAGATGAGTACATCATCTCAAACGGACTTGACTGGTCTCGTTGTGTGGGTGTGTGTTCAGATGGGGCAGCAGCTATGACAGGCGGAGTGACAGCTTCGATCAGGCAGAAGGCCCCAAATGTAGTGGCAACGCACTGCATGTTCCATCGGGAGGCACTTGTACACATCATGTAAAAAAGAAATTGCAACAGGGGGGTCCCCGCCAGAGGATAATGCTATATGGGGGTCCTTGGCATGGCAAAGTTTGGGAACCCCTGAGTTAGTAAACCCCCAATGACACTAAAAAGGACTAAGAAACAAGATTACCTCCAGGGTTTCCCTTAACCCCAGGAACTGTAGCTTCGGCATCATCACTCTCCTCAGTGTTCGGGCCGATGGTTTCAATATTTTCCTGAAGACAGTCTTTTCTCTCCGGTATATCCTCTTCCTCTTCAGGAGCTAAAGCTGCCTTTGTGACGCTTCGATCATCTGACAAATGAGGAAAAAACTGGTTAAAACGTAACTAAAAAGACACCCACACAGCTGATAGTCACTTGGCAGCTATACGTCATGCTTCCTCGCTGGCTTTATCTGTTGTGTAAGACTAGGAACGACAAGACAACAGCACTTGAAAGTTATGGAAAGATATAACACATTTTACAATAATCAGACTCACTGTCTCCAGCTTCAGGATGTGTGTTAGTGTCTGGGCTTTCTTCTCTTGGTCCATCTACTTGGTCGTCCTTTCCTTCACTGAGAGTAGGCGGGCTTATCGTTTCTGATTCTTTTTTCTCCCCAGTGTGGTGTTCTCCTGATACAATTAGGAAAGATGAACATACTCGGCAATGTTCGAGTCAGTTTATTTACAGTTGCAGTAAGAGTGTGGGGTATAACAGTGTGATGAGAGCTGCCTTCTTAATCTTACATTATTTAAGACTGGAAAAGATATCAACTTTTAGCTCAAACCTGAATATAGCAAGGGCATTAACACTATTAAGCAGCTACTGAATAAAGCACTACAAGCAAATACCAACACCATACTACGACTGGAGGTTTGTATAAAAACATCCACAACAAGTGGAGGACCCTGGAGCTTACAGTAGGAAAAACAACTGCTATCAACAAAGCAATCGAATAAATACATGCCAAGGAAATCAGTGCAGGTTACCTATTGGCTAGCCTGCAGTGATTTGTGTGGGTCATTTATCTCTGTTTTGAACAAATAGCTATAATTTTGTAAACCAATTACAAAAGGAAACCTTGAATGTTAAACACCTGAACTTTTGAAAGAACATCCATAACATTCATCTGGTTGTAACTTATATATATCGATATTCCAATACATTTTACATAGACTATTCTGCACTATTTCTATTATATTCTATTTTATTTACTTGCACTATTATCTGTTTTATTGTGTTGAACGGTTGGAGGAGCCTGTGACCTCAGAATTTCATTGTCATAACTACACTGTAGCTATATACAAAGCCTTGAATCCTGGAATGTAAAACATATGCAACCACAGAAAATATTATTGCTATTCCAAAGCAAAAAAGGACTTCAGCATTGTATATCATATTTCAACAATATTTCCGAGATGATTTTTTAATGGCAAATGCAAGTGGGAACGTCACCTCATTGCACATAATGAAACACACTACAAGTACTTCATAGAGCACGCAGTAAATTGACTATAAAAAGAAACACTTTTACACACTACTCCTAATGGCACTTGTTAGAGGTTTGTATCAAGCTTTCCCAAAAGTGAGTAATATGTCTCTTAACGTGTGACTACAATGGATAAGGAAGTCAGAATGACTTGTTATGACCCTTAGACAGGAACACTCACTGGACTTCTCCTCAGCTGTTGAGGTCGCTTGCTCATTTCCTCGTGTCTTTCTGTTGAAATCACCACAACGTCCTTCATCAGCCTGAAGTGGTGTGCCTACATCTGGAGGCGCCATCCGATCTCCAGCCGCAGCACTGTCTGTAGACAAATACAGAAATCAATTGTAATTGTATTGTAAATAATTGTTGTATGAGTTATAGTCTAACTGGACGTCTAATGTTTCAAATTCCGCTCTATCGCAAAGTACTATAAGGTCTGGCAACCGTTTCTGTCCTACTTTGAGAACGAATTCTCTGACATTAAAACAAAGTAGCCCCCTTTGTTTTTATTTATTTATGTTTTCATTTTTACTCTTGGTTATTTAACCATGTAGTTTTTTATTTAATAATTTATGTTTATTTTTTATATACCTATTTTGTATCTCTTCTGGATGTCAATTGATATTTTGTATACTTTCTGTGTGTGCTGTATTTTTGAGTGTTGAGCGCTGCCGTTTGTTATATGTGGAAAATCAATAAAAAATATTTGTTTCAAATTCCTACCTGACCTGACCCGTTTGATTTTCATTCCAGATCTGGTATATGTTCAACACTGTTTGCTTTTTCTTAGCATACTTTTTGCATCAAATTCATTTGCAAATCCTTCCTATTGATTGTTGTAGATGACACATTAAGACTGACAAACTACTGTGACAACATCGGGTTCAGTGCAGAAACAATACTCACCATGTACACTACACAGTGTTTTATGTCATAAATGTTTGTCTTTTAAATACTTTTGGAGGAAAATAAACACTGACATGATGATATAAATAAAACCCTAATACATGGTTTTTACATTAGAGACCATATGATTAGCACAGTAGATGCATAAACCCATTTGTAAAATACAAATCGATTAAATAAATGCATTACTTTTGACGCTGCTTGCGCATTTTACCTTGTGAGAGTTGTGCATTTTTATTTGGATCGGTCACTTCCTGTTTGTCGTCGGATGATGAAACCTCTTGATCCGATTTAGCCTTAGTTTCTTCTTCCTTGCGTCCTGATAAAAAAAAATATATAATGACATATCATGTACATTTAAACTACATTGTAAATGTTTTGTAAATATACTATTCCATTAGAACTGATATTTGGACTTTGTCATTTGGTGTGTATGTACCTTCTGTGTGTTTCTCTGCCATGTCTGTGGGTGGAGGCTCTTCACTCAAAGGTTGGTTCAATGCTGCAAGACAGAAAAGTGTATACAGCACTTGTTTTTATTATGCCAATGACTGAACAGGCTTATCGGTTTTGTTCACATCCTTCTCACATGTTCAAAGTCTCAAGGCAGTTAAACTGTCAAAAGGGAGCGGCTAAGGGCAGTCACTTTTTATAACATTCAAATCGTCCCTTGTTTTCAGTTTGGCTCCATAACATATCAGGCTTCCAATTGGAAAAAAGCTGTTAGCACTTAAACAAAGAATTAACCTACTGTTAAAACTCAAAGTTGAAAACATTGAAAAGTCTGTTTTGAGTCCCCGGGGTTTACTGAATCACATCTGGGGGGTTCATTTAAACTGAATTTGTTGTGTGCGAGAAGACACTGTAAGCAAACCGATAATAGTTGTTAATAGGGCAGCTAGCAAAACTTGCTCAACAGTAATGAAACTAATGGAATATATGTACGAATATTCAAATGTAAACTGTTGATAGTCGTTTAAAGAGTTTACTGTGCAAATCAAACAGGAATTGGGAAATTATGTAAATGAAACACTGATAATAAACTAGTTGTTAGTCTCTAGGTTTGTAGCTGCGGGTAATGAAGCTGAATCTTGTTAGGTGAGAAAGACAACATATTAGTTAGTTCAGAGGATGCAGGGACATACTTGGTAAATACACATTACATGATTAGATTATTTTTGACCTTGCTTGCATATCTTACCTTTTGAGATATTCTGCTTTTCATCAGGATCTCTCTCCTGTTTGTAATTACATGGTAAAACATCAGGATCCAATATAGACTGTGTTTCTCCTTCCGTCCCTTCTGATAAAAACAAATCAATGATGAACTATCATGTACCGGTAAGTGTAAAAACTGTTGTATATGTATGTAAACATTTTAGCCCACCATGACTAATATCTGGCCTTTGTCATTGGTGTTTCAGTACCTGCTGTGTGCTGGTGATCTGGGTCTTGCTCTGCCATGTCTGTGGATGGGGCAACTTTACTCGAAGGATGGTTCAAACCTGCATTGAAATAAATTGGTATATAGAACTTTTGTTGTTATGGTAAGACCCGAGTACATTTATTAGTTCTTGACAGATAAGAAAGTCCAAAGTCTTTAGTGAACCTGCCAACGGGTCGCTTTAACATTCGTTTCTGGTTTCTCTTTAAAACAAACTCCCCTTGTTTCAATTGCATTCATTCAATTAATTTAAACATAGACTACTGACTTAAGTGCTATGGTAACATTAACATCTACCAAAGGTTGCCTCTTGTAAGCTATGCCCACACTTCAGAGCGAAATTAATGGTCACTTCAGTAAGACTTTATCTCTGGCACTAGCTTACACCTCGTCACATACATATATCTGCTTGAGTTGGAAATGTATCGACAACATTAGGCCAATTGTTTGTTATAACCAAGGTCTGTGTACAATAGGTAATAACCTGCCCAGGGACTACACATGTACATTAGCTCAAAAGCTAACTCAGGTGCATTGGTACACAATAATGATTAGTGTGCACACTCCCAGGTCAATTAATAAATAACACGCAAAGCTTCCGATAAGATGAGACAGCACATACAAACACAAACAATTTACTTTTGAAACTCGAAGTTGGAAAAACGTAATATGTTTCGAGTTCACCGCGAGTTGCTAAATAATACCTGGTGGCTAATTGCTACTGAAATTGCTGTAAAACTACCGACATTTTTACGTTAAAATATAGTTAGCTAGTTAGCAGCAATGTTAGCAGCTTAGCTTGAAACACAACTAATAGAAACCTTTACGTACGAATATTTAAAATTACGTCAACCGTTGAGTAACTCTAGCTAGCTAACGAGTCAACTGACAGAGATGCTGGCTTATGTGGTTTACAAAACAGTTAGCAACATGATACGTGGATATAGCTGCCGTCGTGTAACTTCAATCACCTACATATATGTTTAATAGTTTAATCCAATTACTCATTCTAAAAAAACGTACCTGTGATCACATCTGTCCAGCAAAACGCTTCCTTATACCTTGCGTTAGGTCCGTCGCTCTGACAGATCACAACATTCAGGCGGAACGTTCAGCAGTGCCCATGTTTCCATGGAGATAAAGAGAATGTGGCGTTTCCGGGCATCAACGGCGTACGAAAATGGTTCCCCTAACAACTTACGGGAAGTCCATCGTTTATCCGTATGTGAAAGTCGTATTGACTCTCTGATGTTTTCGGCATCGCTCTTATTGTAATTATAAATGGATTCCAGGGTTTCTGAAATTAAGGAGCCTCGCCTTCTGAGGCGATCGGTTAGGCAGTCATCAGGTAACGTTAGAGGTGAGCAAACTGACTGTTGTGACAAAAAGGGTTAGCTCCGCTAGCTTAGCATTTGAAGCTAAATAACTATTAGCTGAAATAAGCTCACTGAAAGTTCAACGGCAAAACCCGTTCGATGACTGATATTAACAACGTTAGCTGACTTAAATTGTGTGGTCGATCCTTAAACTAGGAATAGAGAGGAATGGAGCTGCACGTTTACATGTTGAAAGTTATTTCAAACTTTGTTCAATCCAACGTTCAAGTAGTTGGTTGACTCATTCCCACAATGTATTTCTGATCCTTCTTTAGCATTGGATTTTGAACTGGCACCCAGGGGACCTATGAAGAGGACCAGAAGAGGGTTGAAACCCCAAAGTCCTGTTAAAGCTGTCAATGGGTCCAGAGATGAGGAGAGTGACTCAGAGGATGAAGGTGGGATGCTCCAACGTACAGTGTTTGCCTAACGTTAGTCATACATAGTTTGTACTAGCCAAGGTGGAAAAACTAATTATTGTATTTCCTATATGACAGTATCCCCGAGCAAGAAGAGCCGGCTGGAGGATGGAGGAGCAGAGGACAGCTGTGGTGATGCGAATGAGATGGAGGTTCAGGAACCTGATGAAGATCAGGACACAGATGAAGACCAGGGAATGGATATTATACAGCAGTCCTCTCATGCCTCTCATCAAGTTCAATCAAACAAAGGTTAGGTCTGTTTTTATATTCTTATATTTTTTATACATATACATACATACAGAGTTTCAATATCTCAGTCAGCCAATTTATTTTTTCATCCAATTTAAGAAGAAAACCAAATCCTTCAGATGTTCCCTATCCATAAGTGACACCGTAGTAGTGTTTGCTTTGTGCAACCAATAGACAACCATTTAAACGTGTTTTTTTAACTATAGTATAGAACTCAAAATAGCTGCAAACTCACAAAGTTATAAACATCAACCAATTTAAAAAGTTAATATTAACCAGTTATTAAACTTCTTTAAACCTTTTTTCATGATCAACTTTATAATAAAGGGACTAGGTGTTTTAGCTTAGTGATAATCAGATGTAATACATTTCATATTTACTTACTTAGCTATGCAGGTGCCATCAAATGACAAAGGAGGTATCCTGGTTTACTCTGATTGTTTTACTCTGACGTTATTAACCTTTAATTCATAGGACTTCTTTCCACCATCAGATCTAACACAGGCAGGTTTTCTCTCTTGTTCCTTCAGGCGCCCTTGGAGATATGAATTTATCCCCGTGTGTTGTGCTCAAGGATCTCTGCAGTCACGCTGTAAATAAAGATGCAGATTGGATAATACCAAATAAAGGTAGGAGTGGCTCCTGCTGGCATGGCATGTGTGACTAAGTGAATGTTAGTCTCCCTGAGCCAGTTGCACGTTGTATAGCAGCCTCTGCCTCTATATGAATGAGTGAATACTGACATGTATATGTAAAAGCGCTTTGAGAGGTAATTAAATGCTAATTAAATGCTGTCCATATATCTATCCCCTTGTGTAGGGCTGAATGAACTCCGCAGTCCTGCTGTACATGGAGATGCAGAACGGATAAGAACAAAGACAGGTGGGAAAAGGCTTGAGCTTCATTCTGCATAGGAATGATTACATCAATGTAAGATAAAACTAATATGGCTTGTTTGTTTTTTCACTTAAATCTTCAGCAAAAGGACCTGAAGCTCCCACCAAGTCTTCCGCACAAATCAGACCACCGGTAAACAGACATGATGTGCCTATCCCGAAGATCACCAGCATGGACGAGTACTGGAAGACGTTGGAAGCTAAGGCCAAAAGCACTGGTAAAAAGGACATTTTTACTTAGCCAGATTTCACAGAATTGAAAAATCACGAGGAAAGATGCATTGAGCACCTGTCCAATTGATGTACCTCTCTAAAAAGAATCACATTTTTACATTAATATGTTCTAACTCCCCTTTAGGTATACCTGTAGTTAACCATCACCAGAGTGTGTATCCAGCCTCGGAGAAATCCTGCACAAGACAACGTGTGAATAATATTCCAACACAAAAACAAACCGTTCAGCAGAAAAAACAAGGTATTGAAGCTTCAACTTAAAAAGAAAATCCAGTTATTAGAAACATCAAGTGTAGATTGACATGTTTGGCATTCATTTAATGACATTTCTTTCTTTTACAAGTGAAAATGAAAACACTTGCTATCAAGAAAAGCTCTGGATATTCCTGTAGCGGTAAGATATATACATTTAACTACATCGTCTTTACACCCAAAGATACTTGTTCTACATTCATTGCAGGACTTTAATATGGTCTTATTTCCTTCCAGGATTCATGTGGGGTTTATTCCGTTTTATTCTCGTGGCGCTGATCGGTTCAGCCGTCTTAGTGGCATGCAAGATCATCCCTGTAATGAAGAAGAATGCAGATGGTGAAACGCACCCATCCACGCCTGTAAAGCTGGACATTTTTGCAGATCAGCTGTCTCTCCTTCAGGCTCAGTTCCCCAGTCAGCACTCTGAGTTGTGGAAGAGAAGCAAGATCCACTTGGAGAAGCACCTGAAAACAAAGCAGCCCACAGAGCCGGTCAGTCTGATCTTTACTGCCGGCCGCGGGGCTGAGAGGACCCTGACCTGCCTGGCTCAGAGGCTGGCCTCCTCGTACTCCTCGGCCCTCAACGCCTCCGTCCTCTACATCGACGGGGCCAGCAGAGCCAGCCAGGACAGCGATGAGGTGAAGCTGGACATCGACAACCAGCTGCGAGCTGCGTTTGAAGGAGACAAACCCGCGGCCGTCATTCATCGCTTCGAGGAGCTGCCTCCAGGCTCCACGCTCATTTTTTATCGCTACTGTGACCATGAGAACGCCGCCTACAAGCGCGTGTTTTTGTTGTTTACTGTGCTGCTTCCTCAAGATGAGATCATTGGGGACCAGAGTCTGAAGGAAGTGGAGGAGATGGTGCTAGAGTACGTCAAGGAGAAGCTGATTAGCTCCAGCAACCACGCTTCTTTCAATGACATGGACATAGACAAGTTTGGTGGACTGTGGAGCCGCATCTCCCATCTCATCTTACCTGTGGTGTCTGAGAAGGAAGTAGAGCAGAAAGGATGCTGAAGACTCGAGCTGGTCATCAACGAAGAAGTCAGAATTCCATTTTGGATCAGCCTGATTCTTCCTAGGACCGTACATTAGCTATGAGACAGAGAAGTAACTTGTAAATATAATGTGTGTTGTTACATTTCACATATAACCTTGAGTTCAAATGTTTGAAGGTTGTTTTAATCTCTCCGTCAGCAGTATAAGGTTGAAGAACTGCTCATGTTGTCCAGCACTGAGTTTTTACAAATGTACAAGCTTTTGAATAAGGATATGTACCATCATTTCATTTCCTAAGTAGGTTATGAAATGCTCTCATCCAGGTTTAGTACAATATGTTTGATTGATTTGTTTTCTCCTTGTTCTGTGTCATTAATTGTTTCAACAGCACTTTGTTCCACATCTTTTTAACCCATCTAAGAAGAGTATAGTGAAAGATCAGCGTGGATTGCACTGTTTTGTATCAAATCTCTCATAAAACTGATGGCTCACATTATATATCTGTTAAATGTCCCCATGGAGATGTGTATCCCATTGTTCATTTAATTTTCTTGTGTAAACGATTGGATTTGCACTAAAATCTTTGCTTTAATGATTCTTCTTATCAAGAGTGCTGGCTTTTATTGGGATCAATATTTTTAATTCCTTTTTTCCCTTTTTTCTGATATTTATATTTGTGATATTTTGTCTCTTTCTAGATTGAAATATTTTTTGATAGCTGTATATATATTTTGAATATAAAAATATTTTTCTTTGCTGTCAAAAAACCACAGATGTTTTTACAACGTTGTCAATCACAGGTTATTACTGGGGGATTTTGTTTGTATGAATTGAATTTATTTACAAACAAAACAGTAAGTCACAAAATGTGCCTTAATAACTCAAATGGAGAAGGTAAGAACATCTTTGAAATAAATAAATGATTTGATGCTATATCCTGACAACTTCAAACCAGGCTTCTCCCTGAAAGATTGCAAAGTTAAATGTCCAAATACAGGAGAGTGTTTTTTCTTTGCCTCCTGTGTATTATTCTGATGAATTCTGTTTTGCTCACATGTACATGTCTATTTTCAATAAAGATTATTTTGATAACTAGAAGAGTTAATCATTAATGAATTTCACGGTTTGTTTCCTTTTTGTTTGCCCAGTTTTTGAATGCTAAAAGTCCGACCCTGGTGAAATGTTTCTTTATAAGAGTTGAAGAGCACTTGGAGTTTGTTATGTATACTATGACTGAGAATATGAACCTGCTTTTGTTAATCATTTGTGTTAGAGGGAAAGTCCCGCAACACCAGCTTGGAACCAGGAAGTTACAACTGTAAAACACTGCAGGAGTTCAATCATTTATTAAGAGGATAAGATGTAAGACTCGGTACTAAAGACCGCTTATGGATTTCATTTATGATGCTCAAGAGTAAAAATGCTGCAACACTTTCAGTAAGAAACAAGGAAGGTAACAGAAGTTGTATCAGTAGCTATGTATTATTCCAGTGAAACTCAAAGTCTTGGTCAAGGTTTACTTATTGTGTGAGTCATCTACTTAATCGTGGGTAAACATGAGGTGGGTTACCTTCATACGAATCGTACAAATCTAAAGTCATTTATGAATCATGCATTTTTTGTTCAAGTACTTTTTGTTAAACATGTTCACATAACAAGTTAGTCCATCCATGGACAGGTTTACCCTGTGAGAAGAGATTTGTATTTATGTGTGTCTGTCTTTCTGCACCCTGTTAGTTCAATCGGCCATAGTGCACACCTAGATTTTAAAGGGGACATACAGTTGCAAGAAAAAGTATGTGAACCCTTTGGATTCTGCACACATAGCGTTGTGTGTTCCTTCCAAACAACTCAACGTTGGTTTCATCTGTCCACAGAAAGAATATTTTGCCAGTAGTGCTGTGGAACATCCAGGTGCTCTTTTGCAAACTTCAAACGTGCAGCAATGTTTTTTCTGGACAGCAGTGGCTTCCTCCGTGGTGTCCTCCCATGAACTCCATTCTTGTTCAGTGTTTTACGTATCGTAGATTCGTCAACAGAGATGTTAGCATGTGCCAGAGATTTCTTTAAGTCTCTAGCTGACACTCTAGGATTCTTCTTCACCTCATTGGGCATTCTGCGCTGTGCTCTTGCAGTCATCTTTACAGGACGGCCACTATAGGGAGAGTAGCAACAGTGCTGAACTTTCTCCATTTATAGACAATTTGTCTTACCGTGGACCAGGGCCGTGCACAGACATTTGGAGGGGCTATTGCTCTAAACTAGAAAAAGGGCCGGCCCCCGACCCCCCTGAAAACGTAAGAACTTTTTATTAAAAAAAATGAATACCAGGGGAAAAAAATTGTTTGCGGTCCATATCTCATTAACATATCTAATGTTAGTAACTATTAAAGATAAAATGCGGACAATTCTGTTTTAATGTAGTTTGACCATTGTAACTGCTGTGCCTTAAATAAAATCACTAATTGATTAAACCTGTTCAATACGCATTATTCTTATTCTTATCATTCATTATGAGCGCAGTAACGGTAAGGTATCTAATTACTTATGTATTTAGTATTCCATAACTTAATAACAGAAATGGTCAAACTAAAGTAGAGACATGGCAGAAATCCTACAATGAAGCGGGACAGTGAAGTGTTCTCCCGTATGTGAGAGAGGGCGATCAAGAAAAGAGAGAGAGCGGAGAGGGAGTTTACGGAGCAGATGAAAAGACACAGAAAGACAGAAGCACAATAACAAGTAGCCTATATTTAGGTGTTTTTTTTTTGTAAATAGCCGACGGTGTCAAGAGGAAGTAAAGTCCCTGGTTTGTCCCCTATACTCTAACTGCCATGAGAAAACTCAAAATCAATTTAAGCATATTTAAAAACGGGAACATTTCCGGGGACAGATTGACCCGAGGATTGGCCACCAAAGCCAGGCAGGCACATGATCACCATAGCCATGAGGCCGGACCGGACTCGGAGGGCTTTCCTTTACTTTCAGCTGTCAGATTGTAAACAAAGTCACGTGACTGGGGGCAGATGACAGCGCTGACAAGGTGTGTTTTATCGCAGCGAGACTCTACAATACTAATTGTGGGCTTATCATGTTTATTCGGCCACAACAGAAAAAAAAGACTTTCGCTCTCTCCAGAGGGGCAGGTCAGCCAAAAAGTTCAAAAGGGCCGTTGCCCGGGCCACATTAGCCCTTACCTGTGCACGTCCCTGCCGTGGACTGATGAACATCAAGGCTTTCAGAGATACTTTTGTAACCCTTTCCAGCTTTATGCAAGTCAACAATTCTTAATCGTAGGTCTTCTGAGAGCTCTTTTGTGCGAGGCATGGTTCACATCTGGCAATGCTTCCTAAGAATAGCAAATTCAAAACTGGTGTGTATTTTTTATAGGGCAGGACAGCTTTAACCAACACCTCCAATCTCGTCTCATTGATTGGACTCCAGATTGGTTGACTCCTGACTCCAATTAGCTCTTGAAGAAGTCTTTAGCCTAGGGGTTCACACCCTGCACAGTGAATGTTTACATGGTGTGTTCAATAAAAACATGAAAACATATAATTGTTTGTGTGGTATTAGTTTAAGCAGACTGTGTTTGTCTATTGTTGTGACTTAGATGACATTTTATGACCAATTTATGCAGAAATCCAGGTAATATATATGTATTTTACCTCAACAATGGAATTATGATCAGTAGAAATGGCCATGACATGGGACCTTTAACACTATGTCTTCTCTAATTTGCTTGCGTTAAAAATTGCATGATACTTCTCGAGCTGCTGGTGGAGGTCTGATTGTTCTGACCTACACAGCCCACACAAATTGAATGTGTTGTCTTATTTTACAGTTTGTAAATTGGTAGGCCCACCAGATTCCCAGGCGTACATGCACTAGCGCTAGTTTTCACTACGTGTGTACCCCTCATGCAGTGACAAGTCCTTTATGTAAACATTGAGTCTAAGTGATCTGCATCACTTTAAACCAAAGTGATGCACATTTTGATTATATTAAGACAACTTATATAGCATATCTTTATCTTTTCAAATTTAAATTGATCAAATTCTCACATTTGACTGTATATGTACTGATCTAAGCATATCCATGACCAGATACTTCTGATGTAAGACTTACCCTGTAATAAACACAAAATGTGATCCTCACATTCTGAAGCCTCTTCCTCTACATCAGGGGTGGCCAACCAGTCAGAGGTTAAGAGCCACATCAAACACACAGTCACTGATACCGCTTGTTTCAGTTTTTTGTTTTCTGAAGACAAGATTTCAACCACGTCACTGATGCATTTTTGTGGCATTGGGATATATATTTTTTAAATCCTCTGGAGCAGAGAGAGGAGCTGTGGATTATTGTTATTGATTAATGCATCAGTGTTTCTTAGGGTCAAAAACACTAAACTCACAACTTAAAATGAAAGCGTTTAGTTTATTTAATAAAAGAGCACATGTTCAATGTGAAAAGTGACAGTAGTTATAGATTATTTGCAATTTGGTGCTATATATATATTTAAAAAATATATATATATATTTTTTAAACACCTTGAATTTCAGGGGGGGGCGCGGGGCTCCGTTGGCGGGGCGCAGCGCCCTTCCAAGACAATGGTAGGGGAAACACTGGATAGTAGTGTTTAATCAACGATAGGTTTCCCCCCCCTCAAAAGGTGATTGGTTCACTGCATCACAGGTATTATTGTGATTGGCTCTTGGGCCACATCAAAATTAGACGCGCTGTCATCCTCTCATACTGACACCTGACACCACACATACACACGTAGGGAGAGCCGGGACGAAAGTAACACGGGACCAAAGTAACACGGAACGAAAGTAACGGAGCAATTTTATCCGAGCCCAAACAACTTTGACCGGCCAAATTACGTCAGAATTATCAGCATTCAATACTTAACAGACCTACTAAATATCAGGTTTAACTGTCAGGAGTAGTGTTGTCACGATACCAACATTTTGGTTTCGATACCAAGTCAAGAATTGCGATTCCGATTCTTTTTCGATACTTTTCTTAAAAAAAAGGGAAACCGTCTTAAATGTAATTATTGTGCTTTATTTCACACCAGAACCATAACACAAACTTTTAAACAATGAGTACAATAAATAAAAATAAATGACAAGAATTCGTATTAAATAAAATTAATACATTTCTTACAGACAGGCCTTGTGGTGTTCGTAGGCTTGCCCTCACTGTCAGAGATATTGCTAAAATACTTCCACATTTCGCTTCTGGCGTCTTTTTTGTCAACAAGCCGAGGGGCAGCGGCAGTTGCACTCCCACTTGCAGCCATGCCTCTCGTTTTCTCACATGCTCTGGCAGCTAGCGCGTGCACGAGTGCGGGGAGGCACTTGAGCGTGCTTTAGAGGGGCGGGACTGCAGGCACGGCTGCAGAGCAGGGAGTGGAAGCAGAGCACTGAACACACACAGCTCTTATTTAAACGGCGCTTTCTCACCGGAGTACTTTCCGCCGTCATTCTTAAACGGAGGAATCGTAACGTTTTTAACGGCAGGGTATCGCGGTATACCTTTCAAGTATCGGTACACCGTGCACCACTAGTCAGGAGTCAGTGTCTCTCCCCCAAACTCACACATATAAAATTCAATATGAACTGAAGAGCCGCATGAAACTAGGCAAAGAGCCGCATGCGGCTCGAGAGCCGCAGGTTGGCCACCCCTGCTCTACATCATCATCAAATGGTTCTCTCTCTTCCAGAATCATTTGCAAGGCCCTCTGAGCAGAGCATCTTTTGGCCATCTTGATCAGTTGTGATAAGGACACAAACTGGCGAAGCTTTATTTATTGTGTCTTGCCCCAAATTTGCAGTTTGGATAGAGTGTGAAAAAAATCAAGATCGGTTCCCGCAAAACACAATGCGGGGATATGAGAGCAGACAGGTTTCGGTGCTTGAATTTCTCAACACACACACACTAACACGCACTTGAAAATGTGTTCTGATATATGTTCTTCACAGAAAATGAGCCAAGGCCATAGAGTGTGGGTTTGAAACAATTATTTATCATATCATTTTTCTTTAGCTAAATAATGAAAACGGGTCCCACAGAACCGAATACCATACAAGGGTTAAAGAGTACTATTTAGTAAATGTTCATCTGATTGATTTACCTTTACCATTCAACACAAGGGAAAATGTGAATCATTCATTATCATTTAATACCATCTTTATTACTGTAATACAGTACGTCAGAGTATATCAGTTGTATCATGAGAGAAGCACATACCACACAGTTACTGATGATCTCACCAGTAAAACTTCCTTTCAGAGGACTTGCCTGGTACGAGGAGATACATACAGTTACTACAAATGTAAAAAAAGTAAATATCTGAAGTTTGAACGTGCTGTCTGTCTAATCTCTGATAAGAAATGTCAGGGCCTAATTTATTAAACCAACCTTGGAAAATGAAAGCGCTGAAACAATTTTTAGTTTGCTTTATTTTGAGACCAGATTCAACGCCATGATAACATTTGAGTATTTTTTTATTTAGATAAAGATAAATAGATTTATTTTAGGTCAGTATACAAACATATTTGAGTGTAACACATGCACAACACACAGTGAAAATGTGACTCAGAGTCTAGACTGCATTCAACCCATCCAAGTATTACAATCATTGGGCAGCTACTTTAAGGTGCCAGGGGAGCAGTGTAGGGTTCCTTGTTTTGCTCAAGGGCACCTCAGCAGTGTCCAAGAGGCGAACTGGCACTTCTCCAGGTATCACTCCACAATTGGTACTGAGTCCTTTCCGGGACTTGAACCAGCAAGTCTCCGTTTCCCAGGCCAAGTCTCATTGGCATTTTTATGAATTAATTAATAACTTTCAAATGTCAGTCAATCAAATTCAATTTACAAACCCAATACAACAAATTACAAATGTTCCTCGTTGCCTTACACTCTGTACAGCATTCTGGAAATGGACCCTTCCAAGAAAAAAAAAAACTACCCTAAAAATAACCCTGATTATCTGAAGAAAAAGGGAGGAAACTTCAGGAAGGCAAGTGAAGAGGGATCCATCTCCCGGGACGGACACATGTGAATGACATAATAAAGCTTGATGCCCAGGCCTACTTTTCCTAACACCAAAATATCCCAAAAGAGACCGCAAAAGCAAAACACAAGTTTCCAACGCCGAAGATTACTTGGACAGCGATCACAATCACTGCTGCTGCACTGAGCTTCTTCTGAAATGTAGAGGTGCAGTGGTAAATACCTGATCAAGTTGCATTTGTATGATTAATGTACGATTGTTAATGAAAAGTTATTAAAACATGGTATTTTGTCATGATGTGGACAGGCGCTGACCTTTTTTCTTTCTTTTCTGTTTTTTGAACTCCCTGTAAAAGAAAATAGTGACATACATTATATGTTCTTCTTCAAAAGAATCCATTCTGTATTAATGCATGGTATTATAATTTTTTGAAATGTATACTGCTAGTCATTTACCTATTTTGCTTCCACCCAGTATGGTTTTTCTGTGAATACTGCTTACATATACCCATATTATAAACAGGAGAGTCCACACTGTGTAAGCCATCATCACTTTCACTGGCCAAGAGTATTCCCTTTCATTTCCACAGTTGTCAAACTCCAAAACACCTAGAAAAATGATAGCGGCTGTGGGGAAAAGAAAATGTAAATCAGAACAACACATAGGCAGCTGTCTGAAGAGTTTATGCAAGGATCATAAACGTGTCTCTTAAAGGATTAGTTTAAGATATGTTTGGGAAATTGTGCTTAATTGAGTCTCCAGACCAGACGAAAGCTGGTACACTCAGCATTAGCTGGCCATGTCCAATGGTCCACCTGCTAGCACGTCTACAACTAAGTAAGTATGATATGAAAGGAACATTTGTAAGTTTTAGGGGTGTTGGTTGGAGAATTTTGTAACATTTAGATCAAAACAGGCTACCTGTTTCACCCTGTTTTAGGTAGTTGTGCTCAGCTACGCTAACTAGCTGCTAGCTTTTGCCATTTTTACTGGATATGTAGGAGTCATTTTGTATTGTGATATACATAATTATGCTAATCTGCTTTGATTTTTGTATTTGGCTCAAACAGTCCAAAAAAGGCACAAAACAAGTGTCCAACTCATATGCTTGAAGTGAAGAGTATGCACTGCCCACACACAGACTTTAGCGGTATTTGTTGGATGAAGTAAAATACCCAAATGTTCCACAAACTGTGAATTGGCAAGAATGCATATAAGAGTATTTCCCAAAAGGTCAAACTATTGTTTTAAAGTCATTTAAAAAGTATTCTCAGATAGGCAAGTGAGTAAAATATGTTTACAGTATCTGTTAACATTTGGTAAATATACACTTACTTGTAAAAATACAGTGGATGACGGAACACACTTTGATGATAAGCTCACTGATCTCCTTTCTGGAACCGAAGAAAAGACAAACACAAACAGCTGTGCATAAAAGTGTTGATGAAAGGGTAAAGTCAAATATTAATGCAGAAGAAGTCAAGAGGAAGTTGGACTTACAGTTCATGACTGGGTTCAATTCGGAGACAGACGATAAACAGCTCCAATAAATTAAAGGCTATTGCAACACACACTAGAGCAATGAAAAGGACCTAAACATGCAGACAGATCGCACACACATTAAATAGTACCTATACAGTTTAAATGTGGATGTAGATATGGAGAATTGTTGTAAATCATGAACTATTTCTCACGTTAATGGTATCAGCCAAAGAAAACAAGACCAAGGCAGGTATCTCCACGGCTGCACAAAGCACACAGCTTAATATCTTCACCTACAAAATAATTAATATTAACTTTCAATTATTGTAAATAATTAATAGTACTCACTTAGGGAAACTTGCTTAGCCAATTTCTCCATAATATTTAAAGCCTATTCTGATTTGTAATGCTTGTCCCAGTATATGGGCTTTTAAATTCAATTACATTTTAAAAAGTACATACCTAAAAGTGAATAAAAATAAATGCACAAAACAATAAACAGAAAATACATATGACCAAAAACGACATTAAATCTATACAATAAAACGAAACCCCTGTTTTTTTTCCCTCCAAAAATCGTTAAATGTAATTACATTCTGTAGTTACCTCTCTATATCGTTTTAATTGCTAATTTAAGCACTAGATTCAAATGACCTACCTACCGATGCACAAAAGACTCACAGAAAACAACACAAGCCCTAAAACTCACAGGATACCTTATTTAGATGATACAAACGGGGTCCGTTGATGAGAAGAGTTATTAACAAAGGCAGTTCCTGTGGAGAGATGCAATGAGACAGGAATTCATCTTCTGCTATAATTTTTTTACCGGGTGGCATAAATTAATAGAAAATCATACCGTTTTGACGGCCACCAAAACACTGTTAGCAATCATCAATACAGTACCCAGTTCCTGAGGAAAAAACAAGAAAAGTGTGGAGCTGTGTAAATGCAGATATTGATATTCATTTATTAATGAATAGATTTCCACACAATAAAAAAAGCTCAATCGAATCGTCCTTCTGTGTCAATGCTTACCTGTAATTTAGTTAAATTTGTAGCAATTGGCGTTGTAGTACTTGTTATAATTGGCGTTGTAGTACTTGTAGTAATTGGAGTTGTTGTAATTGACGTTGTAGTACTTGTAGTAATTGGAGTTGTTGTAATTGGTGTTGTAGTACTTGTAGTAATTGGAGTTGTTGTAATTGGCGTTGTAGTAATTGGAGTTGTTGTAATTGGCGTTGTAGTACTTGGAGTTGTTGTAATTGGCGTTGTAGTACTTGTAGTAATTGGAGTTGTTGTAATTGGTGTTGTAGTACTTGTAGTAATTGGAGTTGTTGTAATTGGTGTTGTAGTACTTGTAGTAATTGGAGTTGTTGTAATTGGTGTTGTAGTACTTGTAGTAATTGGAGTTGTTGTAATTGGCGTTGTAGTAATTGGAGTTGTTGTAATTGGCGTTGTAGTACTTGTAGTAATTGGAGTTGTAGTAGTTGGCAATGTAGTAGATGGCATAGAAGTTGTTGTTGGTGATGACAACTTGACATCTAAATCCATTGGTTCCCAGAAAGTTTCAAAATACTGAAGAAATGTGGCTCTGCAACATATCAGGGATGCAAAGATGTCAATATCAATCATTTTGCTCCATGTGGAAGGCCTAATATTGAATCATGAAGGACAGTCAAAGTGTGCGAATACCTAAAAGTGTAGTCCAAGTCTTTTTCCTGTGGCGACGTCCAGTTTACTTTGAACAAACGCTTTTCTGAACCGAGTTTTTGACTAACAGCGTTGTCCTGAGGCGAGAGGAGAAGAGTACAGTATCCAGAAGTAGCTTTATAGGGTTCATTTAAAAGTGTTAATGAAATAGGATTGGAGATAATGATGATGTCTTACCAGTGAACTATGGCACGACAGGAGTCGAGTTTCACGAGAATCAAGCATGATGAATTTCCCAACAGCAGGGCCTACTACGTCCTGCGTCTTTCGAGCCTCCAACATAAATCCTGTGAACTTATTGGATTGCTTGCTCTTGAGATAAACTTGGATAAAGGTTTGAAGATTTATCAAAGAGAAGGGGAGGAACAGAAAATGAACACTGTAGTAACTGCAACAAAGATGAATAGTGCTTCAGGAAAATATTCTCTGTACCTGTGATAGGTTGTCCATGTGGGGCGGGATCGTATGTGATCTCAAAGGGTGGGTCAGTACTCTGGGGTTTATACAATATCCCGTTTCTATTTGTATGCACAGGTAACATAGAGTCACACGACTCTGGGAATATACCATCTGAATACCCATGCACCTTTGTGATGATCTCAAGGCTAATCAAAATCCACAACCACATCTGTAAAACAAAAGACTTCATCAACCTTTTTCGTAAACACATAGAAAGTGGGAATCAATGGTGGAATGTAATTATTTACTCATGTGCTTTAGTATTTGTGCTTTTGCTTACGTATTTCTATTATATGCAACTTCACTTCACTACATCTCAGAGGTAACGGCTGTTCTTTTTACTGCACTACAGTTGTCTCACAGTTTTAGTAGCTTAGCAGTTTACAATTGTTCATCCCCTTCCTGTTCGATGAAAACAATGCACTACCAAATTTGGTGATTGTGAATTTGAATGTTTCGGACAATCTGAAGAGTGAAGAAAGTTAATATGTGTGTCCAGGAAAACTTGCAGTCTTCCAAAGCTAGAAAAAGACGATTTAAAATGCTGGTTGGAACAGCTGGGAATTGCATCTTCACAAAGTTGAAAACAGGGCTGTTTTTCTGAGCTCATGGAAATGTGACTTCTTAGAGAAATGTGGTTCTCACAGGATAGTGACCCTACAATGAGATTATTTTATTGAATACGATGCACTTCTGTATATTGAACTACCAAAGACTATATAAAGGAGTTTACAATATAAAAACCTTTAACATCTACAGCAGTAAAATGATAACTAATGTTACTGAAATATTTAGAAATCTACCAAACAATATTAAAAAATAATAATATTCATTGGATGCATTGGTACCATAAGTATACACATACATTGTTATTTTGAAACAGGACAACAACAGAGCTACAAAACCCATACTTTCAACCCAATATACATTAAAACACCCTTAAATTACTTCATCTCTTTAACCTGATAGCCAAAAATGCAGTTCTCTGGAATTAGTAATATGAAATGTGTGTAGGAATCTGTATTGGAAAATAGGAATAACTCAAACTAAATTAAGGCTAAAAGTAAATAACAAGCATTTTAACGATTGCTTTCACTGTTTAATTTAAGTTCTAAGACCAGTATTGAATAATAACAGTAAAAGCACAATGAGAGTAACAACCCTTTACTCTTACCTTCAAATATTTGTTTACAAGGTCCGGTACCATGAAACCAGAAGTTGAGATGTCACACCTTACTAAAACTCACTGTTTAATCCCTCTAAGAAAACCTCAGATCCTCCTTCCTCTACGGTGTGCAGTGTGTTGGTCAGAGAGCAGCGCAAAACAGCCTGAAGGAGGAAGTTATTCAGTAAAGGGCAATCTAAGTGCACGACTTGAACCCACCCACATGCAGTTTATGATCAAGAAAGTAGTTCCACTTTGCTTTGACCTGTCTCATATCTCTAAACTGTATCGTGTTGTTTTCTAACAGTGTGTTGGTTCCTTATAAACTGTAGTCTACTGTAGATACTTGGACTTTCATATATTTTTTTCTGTGCCACTTTCTTTTTGTGATCTGAATATATTCCCCACCATGACTATTATATTGGTTTGATCTTCTTTACGTTATCAATGCGACGTCAGGTAATAATGATTTAGCAAAGCCAATTTAAAAATAATTATGATCACTTGGACACTTTTGAAAAAGTGTGTCCAGATTGAAGTGGCAGAGGTCCATTTATTGAGAAAAATATATGGCTGGTCTGACTTGTGGAACTCAAAGACTGCAGCACATATTAAATTCCTGGTATTATTATTGTTTTGTTGTTAAATATGTTAAAGGCACAAAAAAACAGTTTTAACATGTTGCTCCTGTCCACAGAGAGTGGTGTCCAAACATGTTAATACATCTTTAATAGACATAACTGTTTGTCATTTACATCTCATTTAGTAGAGGTTCATTAAAAAAAAACAAGAAAAGAAGAAGAAGAAGAATATGAACCTTTATTAAAAAGTATGTTGTCAGAAGAAAAAAATATCGTTGTGTTTATTTACAGCACGGAGAGATAAAGAAATCCAAATATGTCTGCTTCCTTTTAACCGAGAGGAACTGATTACATCTACATATGTTAGAGATGTTTGACATTAACATCCATCAAGTTTTATTCGACACTAATCTACACATTTATCAGAAACATATCAACAAATACATTGTTTACAAACATCTTACATTATTGTAATATATGGAAAACCAGAGTTTACTGTGGCTGTTGTATGAAATGACACATTGCATAATATGTACACTATCAACCATAATTACAGTAATACATGAAAACTCCTCATCAACATCACCATAATAAATCACGTGGCACTCTGTGAACATACGTCTACTATAATGGCTTCACTTCCATTGCCAGTAATGAACAAAATTTTCATGTGCCTCCTTTGAAATTCACCACGAATACATTCAGGTTACAAAGCACATTAGGAAACTGGTTTATATGTAGACACACATATGTAGCAATACACAGAAACATTGGAAGTGAATATTGGCGCTTGCTACAAACCTCAACATTTGAACCACTTTACCATGGATTTTTTACCAAATGTACCCTGAAATCAGTCATTCTTTAGATCAGTAATCCAACAGTTAATGCAAGGAAGTTACGTACTCAAACAGCAACTAGTACATTGATCCACGTGAGAAGTTCTGCATGCGAACATGTTGTTCTTCGGCAGAACTTTGGCGAATAAACATGCGATGCATCATTGACTTCAAATGACTCCTAAACTTCACCCCAACAAACGCATAAAAGACAGGGTTCAGGCAGCAGTGGGAGAAAGCAATGAGCCGGCACACATAGAAGGCATAGTCCAGCTGGATACTTGCTTCACATTTCTCAAATGGTTCAACCATATTGTCAGACAGGATCCTCAGAAAGATGGTCACATTGTACGGCACCCAGCCCAGGAAGAACACAGCCGCGATGCAGAACACCAACTTCACGGCTCTGTTCTTCGTGTGGGATCTTGATTTTGAGATTCTCCTCAGTATTTGAATGTAGCAGAAAGCCATGACTGTGAAGGTGACCAAGAAGATAACATTCTCTGGGGAGAAACCAATGCTTTTCCAAACAGTAGATTCATATTCACAGCCCACAGAGTGTTCACCTTGGTGGGGGATCGGAATGAGGGCGCTATAGAAGAGGGAGGGCACGGCTGCTCCGATGCTGATTACCCACAGAAGGAAAGACATATAAACCCCGGTGCTGATCTGCAGTGTTCTCAGGTCAGACAGAGGGTGAACCACGGCCAAATACCTGTAGATGGTCATGATGGTGAGGCAGAGGATGCTGCTGTAAAACCCAATGAAGAAGACAAAAGTCACAATTTTGCAGAGGGCCTCTGAAAACACCCATCCCCAGATGTGGTAAATGGCCCAAAAGGGGAGACCGAAGGTGAAAACGAGGTCGGAAATGGCCAGGTTCAGGATGAAGATGTTGGTGAGAGACTTGAGGTTTTCATACAGCCCCAAAATTACAAGGACTAGGATGTTTCCTATGAGGCTCAGTGTGATCACAACAGAGAAGAACGCAGGAATGACCATGGACCCAAACTGGACCACTTCGCCTTTTTCACACATTTCATCCTCGTAGTCTTCGTCATACTGGCTGATATTCAAAGAGTCATTCATTGCTGATCACTGGAACCTAGACAATAAGTATGTGCATTACTTCAGGTTCAAGAAATGTCACTGTAAAAAGAGTACAAATAATAAAGGTCTTTTAACAAGAACTCTGAGTCTATATAAGAGGGTGCATTCAACATCATGCTACACTGGAACTCCTATAAAGACATTATTATGTTGCAACATCAATATATTTAGTGTGCAAGATTTTTTTTAAAAGGACCTACCTCTTGCTTGGCGGGACTGATGTGTTGTTGGACGTGATGCCTCTCGCTACTCCAAAGGAATCTAAAAAAGTTGTAGCTTTTGTAATCTCGTGACAAGTGAGGCAGTGTTTTCTGTTCCTAGTTTTGTTGTACTAGCCTGACATGTGTTCAAGTCCTCAGCTCACCTGGATTTGCGGATTTATTTTCAAACAAACACAAATGGAATGGTTTTTTTTTTGTGAGCCCGAATTGTTAAATATTAATCTAGATTTCCGGTGTTAACCCAATACAGCGGCCTGATTTTTTGTTTTGTTTTTAACTTGTGTATTAACTTGTACTTACTTTAGATAATCTGCAGCACTTACTGTAAACATGTTTTAATAGGAACTAGGAATTTAAAAGACATCTCTGAGTCGGATGACTTAAAATCGTGTCAAGTTAAACAAACACTATATGCATGGTGTGTATTATCTGGGAATTCAGCATAGTGAAACCTCAGAAAAGAAGATATGAGCTATGAAACTAAAAAGGGGTACTACAGCACTTACATGACATTGGGGCACTTGTGTGTATTTTTTTTGTTTTGTTTTATAGATGGATACAAATTGATAAACCAGAGCCCAAGATGCACTGATTTATAGTCCTTAGTGTGGGTCAAGCTTTCAATCACTGGATCCTACATTTCCCACAATGCAACCAGCTCATCTGCTGAAAACAAAACACACAGGCTAAGTATTAGTGTAAAATCAATTTGCGTCCTAAAAAAAGGGGACCAATTGACCAGCGTTGAATCGTATTATTAAATGTTAGTCTATTTTACTTGTATAGTATGTAACACATAAACGGGTGTTGGAGATGATGGTGTTTATAAATGATAAAATACACATACATTTTAAAAGTAACGGTTTAGCGGTTCGAAATTAATATTGCAGTTACATTAAATATACTTTAAAGATGTGCAACAGACAACAAAGGACAACAGAAAAGTGGGATAAATTGTTGTTGTCATTTATCACATGACATCGGTGTTTACTTTGCTACGACAACCAAACTACCTTAAGGGTCCCGCCTACCAAGCTCATAGTCATTGGTCGAAGAGATAGATGGCGCTCTGTGATTGGTTAACATTGTTACAATTGTGACACTTTAAACAAGTTTGTATGCACGCCTAAACGATCTGTGTTGTTATGGACTTGAGTCACATCTGTAAAAGTACGTCAAAGTTATTATTCTTTTATACATATTTCATCTGAAATGGTCTATAAACACGCTCGACTATCCAAAGTATCGCTTGTTGGAGATGTCACTGCTATTTTCTAAATGCCTGCCAAAGGTTAACTGAGTAAAAGCTAAATTTAACGTCACTGTAAAAGCTACACAAAGCATTTACAAGTGTCTTTAAAGGATTGAGCTGCCAGCTGTTTGTTCTTGTCTGTCGGTTTTAAGGTTCGAAATTAAATATTAGTGCTTAACGTTAGTGTTGTGAAACTATTGTTGATGTTTTCAAACTGTTGAAACCTAACGTAGCTAAGTTAGCCGTTAGCTAAACAAAAACGTAACGTAAAGTGCGTTAGCTAACGTAACTACAGTGTGAATGCTGAAGTATTCAAATGCAGGTTTTTCCAGTATTTTGCCACTTTTATAACGTTGTATTAAGAAGGCATACAACATATTTTACATGCTTTGTTTACTTCCTCATAGCTAACTAACAGGAGTGTTCAGCAGGAGGAGGACACAGTAACATTTTGCACATACTATCCAGTCACATTCCTCTCTGAATGTTATAATTTTTTGTGTAGTTTATCAGAGGTATTGACTTATGGTATACATAGTTTATGGACTAGAGGACTTTATGTACAAGTAGGGGTGAAAGAAGTACTCAGATCTTGTACTTGAGTAGAAGTAGAAGTACCAGAGTAGGAATACTATGTTACAGGTAAAAGTCCTGTATTCAAAATGTTACTTACTGTAAGTAAAAGTACAAAATAGCGTCAAAATCAAGTACTTATTATGGAAATAATATACATATAATTACATAATTATATTTCGTAATAATACATATATGTTTTGATTCTAATTATGTATGCATTATTATGTTTATCATAGCTGGTGGTGGTGGAACTAATTAAATTATTTTTGTACTGCTGGGTAGTTTGGGAATTAAGTCCAGGTGTAACTAACGTCTTATTTAAGTGTTCATATCATTCATCCTATCTTCACAGTAACTAAAGGGATTACATAAATGTAGTGGAGTACAAGTACCTCAACATTGTACTTAAGTATAGTACTTGAGTAAATGTACTTAGTTACTTTACAACACTGTCTGTGTACAAGTCAAAAACATACAAATAATTCCTATATTGTGAATAATGATTTTATTTGAAAGCATTCACGTCCTCTCACACAATGTGTAGTTATATAAAAGTATGGGGATTGTACGTTTTGTTGCAAATATTTCTCCTGTGGGTTCAAAAGTATATTTGGTCAGACTTTATGGAGGATATATCCTGTGTCTTTAAGTTTTTATCAGGTCTGTAACTATTTCTCTATTCTTACTGTAATCACATGTGCACACGCCTCCATTTGGGACCATTACTCTCCAGTCTTCAAAATATATTTCTGTGGCTATCATCCGTTGATTTTGCAGTTTTAAAATCATTTAAATGATGTTTTTAGTTATTATAGTCTGCGTCACTGAATGTTATAAAAACAAAAGTGCATCGTTGACGGATTGGAATACAGGATTACAGTTGAAAAATGTGTGAAGTGACATTTAGTATACTGTCATACACGATGATAATTTCAGAGGATGAGCATCATAGGAGGACATTACATTTGAAGCATCAGTTTGCACGTACTACTTTAAAGCAGATGTGTGTCTCTGTAGTTGGCGTAAAGAAGTGGAATTCTTTGCCGAATGATTTAAAGGGCTGTAAGGCATTTTTTATGTTTAAGAAAATGTATAAAGAAAGTGTAATTAGATAATATGAAGTTGACTTTTGATTGTGTTCTGGTTTTATGTTGCAGTATTTGTAAGCAACTGTGACTGAAAGAATATTGCTTTGTTTTTACTTTTTAATGGTTATTTCTATATTTTTTTGTTGTTATAATTTTTTTGTAAGAAGGGGCAGGTCCAATATTAATTAATTTAATTAATATAAAAAAATAATAAGATTTTCTTCTCCCTGCTCCTTTCCACCATGCGCTATGAAAAAAATAAATATATAAGTGTACGTGTTTTGTAAAGTGTACATCTTGTTTTAAAATAACTGCCATGTGTGGAATAAACATATAAATAAATAAAATAAAATGTAATTTCTGATCATGGGACCTCTCATTAAAGTGTGCCCATGCTCATAAATTGCAGCCACAAGAGAGTACAGTAGATTTCGGAGCGTTCGTGTCCAGCTTTTGTTCCTGACCGTGTCTGATTCTCTGATTCAGCAGACTGGGTGTGACCCTGTGACCCCGCGAGCGGTGGGGCCATGGCTGCTGGGGCGACAGTCGGGGAGAGCCAACTACAGAGGATTATCAGAGATCTGCACGGTAGGCCAGCTTTATGTGTGTGTGTGTGTGTGTGTGTGTGTGTGTGTGTGTGTGTGTGTGTGTGTGTGTGTGTGTGGTGTGTGTGTGTGTGTGTGTGTGTGTGTGTGTGTGTGTGTGTGTGTGTGTGTGTCTGTGTGTGTCTGTGAATGAATAGATTGGCTGCAGTCAGATATTTGCAGCTGACATGGTGTGACTGGAGAGAGGTGAAAGAAGATTCATAATCACTAGACCTGATTTCAACTTCAATTCTAAGCAAAATCTTTCGCCTGGAACTATCTGACCTTTCCTGGATGTCAAGTTATTCGAGAAAGTGTGCGTCTGAGCTCATGTCGCTGTAAAAGGGTGTGGTGGAGGGTCTGTCAGCATGCAGTGTGACAGAGAGTTCATACTGAGGATACACCCATCACAGGTGTCCTTCCAGTTTTTGCGATGGATACGAGGCAAGTGGTTGATTTGCAGACTAGTTGTCCTTAATAGTGTAAAACATTTGAGATGTATGCACTATGGCTGTTTGTGTGTAAGCAAAGTGTACAAAGATGGGACAATATTACAGTGATGCAATTCTATTAATTTCCTCTGACTCTGTTTTGGGCCACGTGACTTTAGGTTTATTCTAAGGAAATAACAATTGTCTGTCTTTTTGTTTCTCTCCGTCTTCCCTTCCCTAATATACTGTATTTATCACTTCCTTTCATTTTTTAATAAGCATTATGTCTTTGCCTCTTGTATGTCTTCACCAGGGTGAATCTACATGCATACTGTTTGTATACATACTGTGTTATTAATGACTGACCTTTGTTTCTTGTTTAAACTATGTGAACTTCAGATGCTGTTGCTGAGCTTGCAAAAGAGTACAGGGAAAGTGGGGAGCCAATCACAGATGACAGTACCAACCTGCACAAGTTATCCTACAAACTGGAATACTTACTACAGGTGGGATTCAGCTTTAATTGTCAGACATGACATGACTTACTTAGGGAAGTTGTTATTAATAACTATATTAATATATATATGCCTAAAAAATGACATACATTCAACTTCAGTTTTTAATTCCAACTGTTTCTATATATGTGTTCACCTTTCAGTTTGACCAGAAGGAGAAGGCCACATTTCTTGGTACAAAGAAGGATTATTGGGAGTACTTCACTGACTGCCTGGCCAAAATCAAAGGAGCCAATGATGGGATCCGCTTTGTCAAATCCATCCCTGAGGTAGGAAGACACCATAGACATGACAGAAGTGCACACGCACAAAAAGCCTGTTGTGTAACTTTTTTTGCGTTGTATTCAGAGCTTCTAATATGCTAGGCCCAAAACACACCCAATAAATCAATTGAAGTATTGGAGCTAATGTGTTTCAACCTTGTAACTCTAACATATAGAAACAATTAGTTGTCACATGTTAAGTTTTTTCCCCGTTTTGTTTTAATAGATTTGTTAGAAGAAATGTGTAGATGACGTTGATGTGCAGTTAGTCTATGAAGTTATGTGAAAAAATGTCTTCTTCTGCTTTAGCTGAAGACATCTCTGGGGAAAGGACGGGCGTTTATCCGTTACTCCCTCGTACATCAGCGCCTGGCCGACACTCTGCAGCAGTGCCTGATGAACCAGAGAGTCACCAGGTAAATGATATGGGAGCAATTTAGTCCCTTTTTAGAAAAATAGAACAGCATTTGTTTTTGCATCACGGTGAAACAGCTTTACGGCCCGTCCACACGTGCGTTGAAAGCTTCACCATTCACTTTGAATGGGGTGACGTCACTTTTCGCCGAACTGCATTGCGGGAAGCGACGCGGAGCTTTGCTGGCGTGGCTCTCTGCAAAAGTTGAGCAATGTTCAACTTTTGAAGCCTCGGCAGAAGCGTCAGCCAATCGAATCATATGCCAGTACAAGCTCTAGCCAATCAAACCGCTGCTTGTGTGTGAGGGGCGGGAGATTCATGTGATTGGTTGTTGGTTGAGTTTCAGACACGCCCGCCGGCAAGCTTCAATGCACGCCGCTATGTGGACGGGCCGTTACAATAAATTGCATTTCATTTACCAGAACATGTTCTGTTCAGTTTGATTAGATCAATTCCCCTTTCTTTTAAAGTACTAGTCAGTCGTAGAGAGTAGCTGTAGAGAGGAGAGTGTTGAATATTAAAAAACATAACAAAGAAGAATTGAGTTCCTGTTTTCAATCACATTTTTGATGTCAGATTGTAGAGTTCTGCAGTTTTAGTATTGTGCCATAAAATACACAACTAAAAGGGAACATCTTAATCTTAAAGAGGCACACAGCTGATATTTGGTGCCTTTCTTGATCGAGAAGAAAATGTTGTCAAAAAATGTGACGAAAGATCCTTTTTTAGCCACTATCCTTGTTTCTTATCGTTTGGGTATTACCTACTGTGACCTCTTTCTACCCTCTTCCCACAGTGACTGGTATTATGCACGGAGCCCCTTCTTGAAGCCCCATCTGAGTGTTGACATAATCAATCACTTGTACGAGCTCAATGAGGTCCAGTTTGATGTGGCTTCCAGAGGTCACGATCTTGATGCCTCCTGGCCAACTTTTGCAAGGTAAGGGTAGCAAAATCATAGAGAAATAAAACAGAAATTCATCTCAAAAGTTAAACTGCCGCTGAGGAACAAGATAGCGAATTGTATCCAGGAATGATCCAAGTCCAGACAAGATGGCAGTTTCGTACATTTTTTAATCCAATATCATCCGAAAGTACTACGTTTACAATGTGTTCCCTGTGCCTTTGTTTCACCCTGGTAAAAAACGATATGCCTACTGATGCGCTACTCCCACCATCTCCTGTCTCCAATATATACAATTATTAGGTGCCCGAATCACCAAGTGCCCAAAGATGCCTTCATAATAAAAGCATTCTGTTATTTCTTGCACTATGTTTGTTGGTTTTATCTGTTTTAGGTCCTATATATATTCATGTTGCATTGCTGGAGGAGCCTGGGACTTGCCATATCTACACTAGCTACTGTGCATATGACAATAAAGCCTTAAATCTTGAATCTAATACATTTTCTATAAACAAAAACAGCAAGAACATTTATGTTTAACTATTAAATAATATTAAAGCAATATATACTGTAGCTCAGACAGTAAATAATGACACAAAACTTAAAAAGGAGGTAAAAGTACAACAATATCTACAAAATGATTACAGGTGTGTACAAGCCTTCCTATAAACCACCTTTGGAGTACAGTATTATATTTATTTTCTAATCAACAGGAGGACACTGGGAAACTCACCTGGCCACACGTGGAAACCACCCAGTCGCAGTTCCAGTATGAACAGTCTGGCCAGCACCTACTCCCAGGTAACACTCAAACTACATCCTGTCATTTCCTAAAGTAACAGACAGAGAATCAGCACTTTTGAAACAGGGCTGAAACAGAGGGGATTATGGGTAATGCTGCAATGATCTGTTTGATGTTTGGAGCCAAACACTTCAGAGACATGTTTTGTATATATCTGAGACCTATCATATAATGATGAAAAACAGTATAATAGGGGACCTTTAAAATACATGATGTTCATCTCTCTCCTTCTCGTCCTTCCTTGTTGTTAGCAAGCCCACGAGTTCCCCTCCAGCCCTGACTATGGTCAGAATCTGCTCAATGACCTGAACGAATCCTGCACAGAAGAGGCCAGCACAGCTGAAGACCTTCGCCTGGAGCTGGACCAATCAGAGCTGAAGCAGCGAGGGCTCCTAGATAAAGTGCAGCAGCTGGGCGAGGAGGCTGCTGAGCTCAGGGATGTAGTGGTGCAGCTCCAGAGTCAGCTGGATGTGTCCCTCGCTGCCCAAGAGGAGCAACAGGGCTTGCAGGGAGATCTGAATGCTCTGCAGGGAAGAGAAGAGGCCCTTTCCAGAGAAGTGGAAGCACTCAGGACTGGGGGAAAAGCTGAACAACAACTGCTCCAGGAAAAGCTGGCAGCTGCTGAGGGGAAGAACATAGAGCTCCTAGCCAAATTAGACAGCGTGCTGAGTGAAAAGGGCCAGCAGGCAACCAGTCACTTTGATTCAGCTCAAAAGATCCATGAGTTACTGGACAGATTGAAGGAGGCAGAGAGAGGGAAGATGGATGCTGTAGCTGAGGCAGATGAGAAGAAGAGACAGGCAGAAAGGCTAGAGGAAGAGCTGACACTGAAGGAAGCAGCAGCAACGCGTGGCGAAACAAAACTAGAAGCATTGGTAACATCTGCATCTGAGGAGAAGGCAAAGTTGCAGGTGAAAGTGGAGGAACAGTGCAGCGCTCTTGATAAGCTGCAGGGGGCTTTGACAGTGAGAGAGAAGGAGACAAGCAACCTCCAAAGACAACTGCAGGACCTCCAAAGATCCCTAGAGGAGAAGGAGAAGGACATGGAGGAGGTGAAGGAGAGGGCACAGCAAGACAAAGAGGAAATGCAGAAGAAGTCTAATGGTTTAGGATCAGAAGTCACTGCCCTTAAGGGGAAGCTAAAGGAGAAAGACGCACAGCTAGAATCCAAGCACCAAAGCCTGATCACAGAGAGAGACAAACTGACCAATAACCTTGTTGAGCTGGAGGGAAACGTCAAAGGACAAGCAGCGAAGATAGAAGAATACAAGACTCAGTGTGGCAACTTAATAGAGCTAAATAAGAAATTGCTAAAAACAGAAAAGAGAAACGAGGGGATGAAGAAGGAGATGGTAGAAAACAGAAAAGTGACCGAGACTGAATTAGCTGCTCTGAGAGCTTCTGAGAAACAGCTTCGTGGCCAGATGGACGACACCAAGATGACGGTGGATGAAAAGGAGAAGCATCTGCGTGAGGAGAACCGCCAGCTGGATGAGAGTCTGCAGAGAGCCAACATGGCCGCAAAGCATCTGGAGCAGGAGAACCAGAGTGTGAGGGAGGAGCAGGACACTGTGAAAGCAGCTCTCAGCCGTATGCAAGCCGCCCTGAAGAGTGTTCACGCGCAGATCGGAGAGTTGGAGAAAAACTTAGGAGTCTCGCGTAAGAACGAAACCACCCTTCAAGAACAGCTCGAAGCCAAAAAGGCGCAACTAGAACATAAAGAGAAGAGTCTTGTTGAGCTGCAGTCCAGGTTGGAATCTCTTGAAACCAGGGAGAAGGAGCTGGAGATCGCCAAATCTGACGCAGAAGCAGTTTGTGCTAAGCAGACAAAAACGATTGAAAGGGTTACCTCGGAGAAGCGAGTGATGGAGACATCTCAGCTGGAGAGGAGCGCGGTGCAAGTGAAGGAGAACCAGGAAGAGACGGGGAAACTTGAAGGCCAATTGGAGGTGTGCATGAAGGACGTGTCCAGGCTGCAAGCAGAGACTCTGGACCTCAGGGTGCGGGTACAGAGATCTGAGGAAGAAAAAATGAAATCACAAGCACAACTGGAGGTGACGGAGGCCCAGAGAGATGAGCTCCGGACTCTGACCGAGCATCTCAAAGCCCAGACTGAGGCACTGAATCAAAAGCATGTAACAGAGCTAGTGGACTGCAAGAAGAAAGAGGGGGTTCTCATTGAACAGCGTGATAAAGAAGTAGCCGCCTGTGCAGAGTTGTCCATCTCTGCAGCGGCCATCCGCGAAGAGCTGTCCAAACTCAAGGCAGAAAACAGCCGGCTATCCTCAGAGAACGGCGAGATACGAGAGGGTCTGCACAGAGCGAACACTGAGATGGCAGAGCTTGGGATCACCATCTGTAAGCTGGGTGCAGAAAAGGAGGAGGCTAGAGAGCACTGGGCCGGGGACGCCGCCAGGATCCAGGAGATGGAGAAAGAGGTGGAGCGACTAGAAGAGAGCATGGCAGAGCTGCAGCGGGAGAATGCCAGACTAAGAGAGGAGCTGACAGAGAAGGAGAAACTTCCAGAGAGTATCATGGAGCTCAAGAAGCAGCTGGACAACGCCAAAAACCAAATGCAGAGCGTCAAGGAGGAGGTGGAGGCCGCCAAGTTCCACCTGAGCTCTGAGAGCATGAGTCATCAGGTCCAGATGAAGGTGAGTCGGTCAGAAGCGAGTCAGCTGCAGCAGGCAGGTTTTTTATTTCGGGTGTCTGTGGCCAAGTATTAGGGTTCAACTCTTTAGCTGGCAGAGCATTTCAGACAATGTCATCCCCTCTATCTCCCCCTATCAACACATATTTCCATAAAGGCGCTCTGGCCCAAAGAATTGCATGACAATGTCAGTGAAGGTGGTCAAGCATTTTAAAAAGTGTATTCCCAAACGCTGTGTAACAACATTAACACTCACTACTGGGCAAGCCTATTCTTTGCACTAGTTATCAATCAATCAATGTTTATTTATATAGCCCAATATCACAAATGTTACATTTGTCTCAGTGGACTTCACAGTGTGTACAGAATATCAGTATGACAATACGACACCCTCGGTCCTTAGAGCCTCACATCGTACAAGGAAAAGCTTCCAGAGAAAAACCCCACAGTTTAAAGGGAACATGGGAGAAACCTCAGGGAGAGCAACAGAGGAGGGATCCCTCTCCCAGGACGGACAGACGTGCAATAGATGCCGTGTGTAAATCGAAGAGATAATACATTTACAACATAGGTAGACCAAATGTTTGGAAATGCATGTCTATAATAAGAAGATGTATCAACGAGGATGTCAACAATCCTGTGGGAGCCATCAGGGAAGTAGTATGATGAGAGTCAGGCAGGACCACAGTGACAGGTTCAGCCACGACTCGAAGTCCAGGACTCAAATCCAGAACTCAGGATAGATGATCCAGTGTCCTGGATAGTTATTAGTTTATTGGCTCCATTCACACCTGACATTACCTTGTAATCTGTATCTGAGTTTGTTAACTAACTGGGCAATGACATCCAATCCATGGGTCTTTGCATTTACACCTGTTATCTAAATTAGTTTTATGGCTTGATTGTACCCACAATGTGATCATACATCAATATGCAAATGAGTGAGGCGGAGCAGGCTGACTTGTGAGTCCCAGGTTAAGGGAAGCAATTCCACACAAGGACGTCAGTTGTCTCTAAATCACTTTGCCAGAGAAGAGAGTCCCTTGCGAACCAGATACAAATCACATGTAAATGCCAGGTGTACAAAGTAGTGCTCAAAATATCCATATCCGTGACCTCTTGAGATCGCAATGTCACTCCAACACTTTATTCCCGAATAAAATATCCTAACTTTTGGATAGATTGTTATGTAATTGTGTACAGACATTCATATCCCCCATAATATCAATGATTCCCATGCTTTTGATCAAGCCCCATACTTGGTTTATGACCAAAAGTCAAACTCAGGAATCAGAAATCCTTTATTAGTCCCACAGCGGGGAAATGTAAACGAATGACATCAGCCTCAGCTGCATTGTGTGTTTGCTAATTAACAAACCTTAGCATGCAAACCCTCTCAATTATGTGAGGGTACATCAGAATCAGAATCAGAAAGGGGTTTATTGCCAGGTAGGTTCACACATACGAGGAATTTGACTTGATGTCGTGGTGCATACATAACATAGCATCAATACTGTATGTAAGCATTACATTCTTGTTTTTCAGAGCGTTAATGAGCAGCTGGACGCGGTGAAAGGCCAGCTGCGGGAGGAGACGAGGAGTGTGTCCAGCCTGCAGGACAAAGTGTCTGAGATAGAGGTTTGTGTCTTTCAACCATCAAATACAGTGATGTATAATAATAATAATAATAATCTCGATTATTTGGGTCAATAATTGATATCACGATTATTAAAAACGATTATCCATTTACTTTGAAAACATCAATTTATTGGAGAAAAAAGATTTGAACAGTATCTTTTTAACAGTTGATTACCCTGAACTTTAAGTATAATTTACGACGGAGTATTAGGGCCCCACTTAGAAGAAAAAAAACAGAGAGATTTCGAGAATAAAGTCGTAATATTACAAGAATAAAGTCATAGTTACGAGAATAAAGTAATAATTACGAGATTAAAGTCGTAGTTTAATAAGTGACTTGAGAAGCGGGCTTGGAGGAGATTGTCTCCTTTCTGCAGGAGGAAATGGCTGGTTCTGGCCGACTACATTACATTACATTGCATTTAGCTGACGCTTTTATCCAAAGCGACTTACAATAAGTGCATTCGACCAACAAGATACAACCTTGAAGAAAACAGAATCATATAAGTACATCAGGTTTCATAGAGCTAAAACATTTCAAGTGCTACTCAACTGGCTTTAGATAAGCCAGTCCTTTATTAGTATATAAGTGCTTTGTTAATAGTTCTATTGCCCGAAGTGGAGTCGAAAGAGATGAGTTTTCAGTTTGCGCCGGAAGATGTGTAAGCTATCTGCTGTCCTGATGTCAATGGGGAGCTCATTCCGATTCCACTACAAGGCTATCGTTCGACTACTTCTGGATCCAAAGCCTTGATTACAAGTCTCATCGTTTCTTGTGAAACAACAAATCCCCTTTGAACAGCTCGTAGATGTAACCAACGATAGCCTTGTAGTCGGCCAGAACCAGCCATTTCCTCCTTCAGAAAGGAGACAATCTCCTCCAAGTCCGTTTGGTTCTTTCTTCGAAATAATAGACATAGTTTCTTACACAACCTTTTCAAAGTTCTAATACTTATGATAATCTGATGCTGATGTGCCAAAAGATTAAGTATTTCGTTATTTGAGAAACCTAAACTAAAGTACTACTTCACAAGATGCTCCACATTCCTCATTTTATTGCAGGACGCTCCTGTTGTCTCCTTCTCAAGTCATTTATGAAACTACGACTTTAAACTCGTAATTATGACTTTACTCTCGTAATATTACGACTTTATTCTCGTAACTATGACTTTATTCTCGAAATCTCTCTGTTTTTTTTCTTCTAAGTGTGGCCCTAATACTCCATCGTAATAATTCAACTGAAAAAAAAAAAAGATTATTAAAAATAAATAAAAAAAGTAATAATAAAAAAAAATCATTTTATTTTGATTACATTGTTTTCGTAATCGTTGCAAGCCATAATCGTAATATCGCGATTAAAATACGATTAATTGAGCAGCCCTACTATCTACTACCTAAGTAAATACATGGTGACGGAAGAATGTGTTCTTTAATCTTTGCAAAGGAGAAACATGTCATATAAAACTAGAGTATCATTTGAAAGAAACAAAAGTGGGATGTACTGACTTCTAGTCTAAAGACAAACATGGGTCACGCAGTCAAAAGTGCAACGTCCTCCAGTATACATAACCTGGAGCAACAGCAGCTTTATCATAAGTGGATTTACAGGGATGGAGAAAAGTTACACACCACAAGGGACATCATTACAGAAACATGGTTTGTTTAATACTCATCAACAGGAGGTGATTATATGACTTTTTTCAGGTTGTTTTTGTATATCGATTGATTTCTTTGATTGCATTAGGTAGATTTGAAACAGCAGTGTAATACGATTATAATTTTGATTTGTGATTAACTTGATTGTTGGATTTAATTGACTCTGGGTCACTCCAGGGAATGTTATCTAAAAATGTTTTAATCACATGTTTTGATATATAATATACTTCAATATATATATGAGCAAAACTTAATTATTTTTAGGACTCCTACAATTTAATTAAACCCAGCCGTGTTCAAAAGAACCAATTCAAGAACAACAATGGAACTTAAATTATTGAGATTAATGTACTAATTTGACATTCTTATGCATGTTCTTATAATGTTTTTAAAGGCTTTGAATGAGCAGTACCTGAACCTAACTGGCGAGAGAGACGCTCACATCACACAGACACAAACAACCATCCGTGAGAGTGAGAGCGAGATTCAGCAGCTGAGGGATGCTGTAACCAGGTGCGTTTATTTCCAGTCATACCTATAAGTATCACCTTGGTTAAAAAAAAAAAACGAGCTACAGAATCATTTTCTTTGCATGTGTTTCTCCTCAGCGCTGAAGAAGCACACTTGGCTGCGCAAAAGCTCTGCGAGGATTTGAGGCAGAAACTCATCACAACAGAAGCCGACAGAGCAAACCAGAGCATGAAGATGACTGCAGAGATCGATGACCTCAACAGGACGAAGGGCAACCTTGGAGAGCGGCTCATCGAGCTGATAAGGTACGACCTTTCTCTGTCACAGCTGCGTTTCTTCATGAATAAAGGGGTTAAAGGTCATGTTCTCGTTGGATGTCTACCTCCTACAGTTGCTGCCTGCTCTTTGATAGGTGTGTGTGTTTTTGAATAGTTTCTTCCAGTATGAGTATCTCTCATGTTGTTATATTTGACAATGATGGGGGAAAATAAGATCTGAGAAGCAGAGGCCAACATGACAGGGGAAGTGGAACATATTCTTCATTGTTATCTCAAAAGCGATTGAGCGAGTGATACTGTGTAAGGGATGAAACACAAATTCAGTGATTACAGTCAACTCCTTTGGGAGGTGCACACAGGATGTAAGCCTTTCATTGTTCAATAGGAGGCACACCTTCATTGTTGTACCAAGAATATACAACGTGTGAAATGACATGGATATTTGAAAGGAAAAATAGTTCAGTCAAAGTGCATATAACACATCAAATGGGCTCAGTCTTCAAATAAATGGGAAGCATACCATATAAACCACAGATAACACCACAAGGTTAATTATGTTTTATATTTAATATTATAATATCATGTCGAATGTTCTTCCTAAAACAGGATGGAATTAGATTTTGTTGCTGTCGATATTATTTTCTGATTTATGAAGTGATAGACAGACACAACATTCCCTTTGTAAAAACATATGACTTCTATTTGCCAAGAAAATTAAACAGCACTTTTTTGTCCTGGCTTTGTCCAATGTTCAGATATCTGTTCTGTTGCAAATTTACAAATATTTTATAACAAAAGATACCTTTTTTGTTCATTTTAACATTTCAGAATACTTGTTATACAAACAAAGATGTTCAGGAATCAATTGTGAAAGTTTCATTGTGTTTCCTTTCAGTTCAAATGATAATGTCCCCCCTTAAGACAGCAGTCAATGACACTCAACTTGCATTTGTCTTTTTGTGCAATACCAGGGACAAAGATGCTCTGTGGCAGAAGTCAGACGCTCTGGAGTTTGAGCAGAAAATGCGAGCAGAGGAGCACTGGTGGTCCGATAAAGAGACCACCAACTGCCTCGACTGCAAGGGCCAATTCACCTGGTGGCTGCGCAGACATCACTGCAGGTGGGCTTCAGTGGGCCTTAGGTTGCTCCTTTTTAAAGATCACCTATTATACAAAATCCACTTCTTCACGTCTCTTCTCCATCAGCATGTGTTCCCTCTGTGGAAAGAGACTCTGAAAGTCTCAGGAAAAAAGATTCTCTCTCTTTTTGTCCTGATCCATTTCTATAAAAACCTGTCTGAAAATGAGCTGATCAGATTTTTGGCCACTTTATGATGTCATAACGATGTTTTGGCTTGTGTAACCATTAGCCAATCACCAACCAAGGTGACCCCCCCCACCTTATCACCTGAATCTCCTCCTAGAGCACCATTGTGTTCTTTGTAACTGTCGTTAAAAAGAACCCGAAGTCATGGACGTTCGGGTCGTGGCTGAACCTGTCTCTGCGGTCCTGCCTTGGGTCTGGTCATGCTGCTTCCCTGATGGCTCTCACAGGATTATAGCTGACATCCTCGTGGATTCATCTTCTTATTACAGACACATGCATTTCCTAACATTCGGTCTATATGCTGTAAAATGTATTATCTCTTCGATTTACACACGGCATCTATTGCACGTCTGTCCGTCCTGAGAGAGGGATCCCTCCTCTGTTGCTCTCCCTGAGGTTTCTCCCATGTTCCCTTTAAACTGTGGGTTTTCTCTGGAAGTTTTTCCTTGTACGACGTGAGGGTCTAAGGACAGAGGGTGTCGTTTTTCTCATACTGATATTCTGAACAATCTGTGCTGTTGTATTTGCTGTAAAGTGTCTCTACTATAGGCTATTTTTATTTTATGTACAGCGCTTTGGCTCGACCAAAAATCGTTTATAAATGTGCTATATAAATAAAACTTGATTTGATTTGATTTTAACCAAATCTCTCTCAGAGGGGCGTGGGGAGGGGCTCCTTATTTTCATCTAAAGTAACAGACAGAGAATCAGCACTTTTGAAACAGGGCTGAAACAGAGGGGATTATGGGATGCTACAATGATCTGTTTGGTGTTTGGAGCCAAACACTTCAGAGAAATGTTTGTATATATCTGAGACCTGTAATATATTGATGACAAACAGTATAATAGGGGACCTTTAAACTACGTGAATGTCTGAAACGGATTAAAACCCTTTCTCTCTCAGGCTTTGTGGTCGGATCTTCTGCTACTACTGCAGCAACAACTTTGTGCTGACTAAGCACAGCGGGAAGAAGGAGCGCTGCTGCAGGGACTGCTACAACCAGCACAGCGCGGTGGTGGAGAGGTTCACAGAGGCGGAGCTGAGTCCTTCAGACACTCAGCCCCCCCCACCCTTAGCTGGACCCCAGCCCCCTCCAGAACCAGCCCCGTATAAACCCACTCCCAGGGTCACAGGTGAGAGGCAAGCTGGGGAGAAAACACATGCTAACCTGACCACTGCACACTTAACTTAAAGGTAGCACCCACAAGTGGATTGCTGTGGTTCTCAGGCCGTGTGTAGCCAGTTAACTGGGAAGCAGAAGTGGAAAGACTAACTTCTTCATAAAGAGGAACAAGGATAGAAGTATTTGCCGTAGGATTCTTGTTTAGTAGACAAAACGGGAAGATGGTGACATTTCAATTCTGACAGGAGGCTATTTAACTTTCATTCTAAATAAAGGAAAGCTGCAAAATGTTACAGTACATGTGTTTGTAGGGGCCCATTATCAGACGTTCATTTAGGATGGTTTAAAGGTCACCTATTATGCAAAATCCACTTTCTCATGTCTTTTATATATAAATATGTGTCACCTCTGTCGAAAGAGATTCTGAAAAAAATATTCGCTCTCTTTGTCGTATTAAGTAACAGACCCAGAATCAGCACTTTTGAAACAGGGCTGAAACAGAGGGGTTTATGGGATGCTACAATGATCTGTTTGGTGTTTGGAGCCAAACACTTCAGAAACATGTTTTGTATATATCTGAGACCTGTAATATATTGATGAAAAACAGTATAATAGGGACTTTTAATGTATACTGTACATGCACAATGTATTTTGTGTGCTTCTAAGACTATACCATGAGAATATGTAGTGGTCCAACAGTAATTGATATATTCTTGTTTCTTCCAGTTTCAGACCCCAGCCCAAAATCTGATGACGGGGTTTTTGACATAATCACAGAAGAGGAAGTGAACGGCGTCTACGACAGTGACAACGTGTCCCAGACCACAGGGGGCTCTCTGGAGGGAGATCAGGAGCCACGGCCCCCAGGAGCGCTGGATATGTGAGTGTCGTATTTATGTAGGGTCAGAAAACTGAGACCTGGTTCAGCCGGTGTCTCTGTCCTGAGGTCAGATCCCTCACTTTGATATACTACAGCAACTTAGTACTGATTTCAGGTTTACACTCACAGATAACATCCAGACCTATATAGCCAATAGGCGCATTCACACCGCAGTACTTTTCCCACAAAGGTTCATGAGAACTTAGTTCATGAGAACTCTTTAGTTCTCATGAACTAAGTTCATATCGCGTTCACACCGGAATAAGTCCCTGAGGGAGGATTAGGCAAATGAAGCCGCTGACGTCACTTCTTCTTCTTCTGCTTTGGCAGGCCGCAAACAACTTCACGGCGTATACTGCCGCCCAAAGTCCCCGGCCGGAAGTCGGTCCCGGAGTTGGGGACTGGCTTCAGTAGAAGCTGCTGGGACTCCCAGCAGCTTCTACTGAAGCCTTCCGAGTAAATCGCCAGAACCCCGACACCTCCTCATCTCCACCGCTCCCATGTTTTCTTTTGTGTTGCCATAAGTTAGTCTCTATGTTTGTGCGCTGGGCTAATGCTAATAATGCTAATGCGAGGATAATAAAATGGCGGCTTCACAAAACTTTTTTGGAGTTTTACGGGGCGTGGTTTGCAATCCGCCCAGCCAATCAGACATAGGAACCTTTTTCTCCCACGAAAGTCTGAAAAGGGGGTAAAAAAGGTTCTGATGAACTAATTTTAGTTCCGGCTCTTTTTGGTGTGAACGCGACATTTCGGAACTATATCGGAACTAAAGTGGGAAAAGTACTGCGGTGTGAACTGCACCAAGCAGTGTGACATCTACACACAGTACATTCATTAAGTGTGTGTCTATGACTAATCAGAGCCTGTAAAATCCCAAATACTGCGTGAAGCTCTGGATGATCTTAGAATATAAAAAATACAATGGTTTCATGAGAAATGTAATTAGGTTTCAAATCTTACTTTGCTTATAAAGCAGACACACAACAAGGCTTTCTTCCAGGCTGTTTTCACCTTAACTTCTTGACCTTTCAAAGTAGGACATTGGGAACTGAATTAGTTCCTTATTATTGATAATATAAAATCAATGTGTCCATTATCATTCAGTTTTAAACAACAACAGATCAGTGCCTTTGCTTCTTGCAACTTCAGGGTGGAAGGAAGATGCAGAAGTATGGATGTGTTACTGTTAGGTTGTTCATTTGATTGAAATATAACATGTTTATGCGGAAGTACTCAATGCGGTAACCCTTAAATATGTGAACAAAACATTTACAAAGATGTACCTCGGAGATAACTGGGAGCACGGTGAGGTAACATTAAATTAACTTGTGCTTAGATTGAACTCACTTTAAGGCAAAATAATTTGTTAAGCATAAAGTAAATGGGATCAAATCTACAAAAATGCATATTCTTCTTTAAATGCATCAATATGAATCTGTAGTTTATCCCCAAGACAGCAATACCTATCCTGCCTAGTGCCTACATCAGGATGCTTTCTATTTTTGTAGTTAAATTATTATTATAGCTCTGAATCATTACCGTTGAAGAGTTATTTGCATTAAAAAGTATATATATCACTCATGTGTTTTGCAGAGGCACCGGAGATGTGACCCCTGATAACCCTGAAGACCATGTTCCCACTGTTCAGGATACAGAAATCAACATTCTCAAATCCGGAGAAGTCACGTGAGTCTTGGCTTCTGGTTTAAAGTGTGTAACTCATGAGAGACTCGGTTTAAATGCCACTGAAAACTCATTTGAAATGGTGTTCTTATTGCAGGATGGCTGTCCCTCTCAGCATTGACGATATTTCTGGGTTTGGTGAAGGTTCCCGGGAGCTCTTCATCAAATCCAGCTGTTACAGTGTAATCACTGTTGCCGTGGGTGACCGTGGGCCAACCATCAGCTGGGTGTTTTCCTCGGAGCCTAAGAGCATCTCCTTCAGTGTCGTTTACAGGGAATCAGCTGATGTTCATGTGGAACAGTCAAAGGTAGACGTCAAAGATAAATGTGTTGTCTTGTACTCCTGCTCATCCATTCAAATGGCAGTTGCTTCAAAACAGACTCAAAAGCTATTTACAGACACAAAGGATTGACCCTGTGTCTTAGGAGACCCCTGCAGTGTTTTGCTATTTGCTTGATCTTTCAAATATCACTGACGGAGGAAAACCCCCTGCAGGTTTTCAGTGTTGCTCAGCAGGTTAAGGTACACATCCTGCGCTTTAAATGTCAGGGTTTGTAATGAACAACCTTTGGTTTCATAAACTTCTCCTTCTACTCATGTCAATATTTACTTAATATATTTACCTTTGATATATAATATAAATATAATTCAAAATGAGTTGGAATTAACAATATATTACATTTAAGAACATATTATATTCTGCAAATGAGCCACATTTATCACTTAGTCAATTGATAGAAAATAGTTTTTTGTGCAAAAATACCAAATATTTGATTTGTTCCTCAAATATTTGTTGATTTATTTTTTATTTTGAATTGTTGACAGGACTATTTGAAAACGGTCAAATTATGAACATTTCCCACTTTACTGATTTGTATAGATTTTTTTTTCATTTCCAGTTTGACTGACAAAAATGCTATTAATGCATTTTATTGCATTTATTTTTGTATATATAAAAACAACTTAAAGAATGATATTGCACACTTTCAAGTTCATATTTGTATGTTGTGTCTCTACAGTGACATGTCTCCATGCTTTAATGTTCAAAAAGCCCTTTATTTTTCTCATACTGCCTGTGCTGCAGCACCTCTTTTCACCCTCTGTCTGAAACCAGAGCCCAGTCTGCTCTGATTGGTTATCTGGCCGGCTCTGTTGTGATTGGTCAACCGCTTAGAGATTTCCCGCCCCTTAGCGTGTCACGTACAATGTGTTGAAGCGCTAACCAATGTCAAACATAAACATTGTTTGCACAGCATATTATTAAAACGAGAATAGAGTATTATAGATAAATAGGCTGGTGAGGCGAGAGTTGTTAGACAGAATGTTTTTATCTGAACATTGAGTTTCACTTCATGCCGATGTTTCTGTTCTTCTCTCAGGTCCTGATTCCTCTGACTCGCTGCAATTCCCATAAAGAGACAATTCAGGGACAGCTGAAAGTCCGAAACGCCGGCCTCTACACACTCATCTTTGACAACTCCTACTCACGGTACATCTCCTCTGCCCCGATTCTTCCTCTCAGGGGGAGAAGCAGCGTGCGAAATACGATTAACACCTGAGCCCCCCTGAAAGCCTCAACAGCAACATTTGAGGGGGGTCTCAAATTATAATATGTATTTGTCACTTACAATGGTCACTAAAATGTTTTTAAGCTTACTATGTCCAGTATTCATAATTCATCATCGATCTCTGCAGTCATCTTCATGCTCTGGTTTGCTCTGTCGGCTTCTGTTGTGATGAGTTTCTGCCTCAAATCCTCGCAGAGCTTTTGCGCAGCCAAGTGTGCTTCTTCAGCGCTGAGGAGAAACACATGCAAAGAAAATGATTCTGTAGCTCGTTTTTTTTTAACCAAGGTGATACATTCATAATTCAACATTTATTCACAAAGATCTTCTGTTTTGGCTGGCAAAAGCCTTTCCTCGCATAGAATGGAAAACAGACGGCTCTTTAACGGTCGCGTATTCATTCATATGAACGTCAGAATATAGAATTATTTGACGGCACCCCATGAAGACGCCAGACGGCGCCCCGGTTGAGAAACGCTGCTATAGTCTACTGATTGTCTTGGCTTGCATCCATGGAATATTGTATAGGCCTACTGCATATTGAGAAATCTTCGACGGGTATATTGAGCAACAAACGGGAGATGGGGACCCCCACGATTATTGACGGGTATTTCGCACACTGGGGAGAAGCATATTAATTATAGAAATGCATTAACTTTGATGATTAATTCTGATCGGAAACCCTCTTTCTACAGGTTTATCTCCAAGAAGGTCTTCTACCATCTGACCATGGAGAGACCCATCATCTACGATGGAAGTGACTCCCCTGAACATGGATGATATAAAGGATCTCAAAGATGGCAAATTCAGACAGTTTCTAATTAATAGGAATTTATTTTACCTCTTTTTCTCCAAAATTGTTTTTACCCAAGTATTTTATGCCTCCATTTTTGATTGTGTTATTTAAGTCTGTGGTCTTATTGTTTTTAGGTGTCCCCATGTTTTAACTGTGGCCTAAGTGAGGTGTTGTCAACAAGATGGAAACAGGAAGACAAATGTTTTAGTGTGTTTTTATAGATGTCCACCAAGTAATATACAATATGTACTCCAAGTTTGGTTAGCTTTTGGTTTCGTTTGAGACGTTTTGTCTTCCTTTTATTTTTGTCAGTCTTACTATTGATCTCTCTTTTCCCAAACATCATGTTAGGGAATGCAGTAGTATCATTACTTCATTAGTATAAGTATTTATTGGCAAAATACCCAAGACATATTTTATTTTAATTGACAAAGTACGGTCAGTTGTTGTGCAATCTTTTAAATCAAAGAATTCAAAGCAGAAAGGTGCAGACAAAAGGTTTGCCCCTGGCTTTATTAATGACCCTGTCTGAACACGTTTGCACGTTGCTAGCGCAGGAATATACAAAACTAGACCCGGAAAATTACAATATCTGTTTTATAAGAAACCGTATAAACTTTGTGCAGATCTCAGGAGTGGGACATTGAAGTGTCCTCTATTTGTAGCATGTCCTTATTTTTAATGTTTTTGAGAAAGAGAAAGAAGAAAAACTGCCATCTTACTTTCTGTGTCAGGAGAATACAAATCAGCTTTCTCCATCCAGCTTATAGGACCTCATTAATGACTGGTGTCATTACAATGATCACTAAAAGTATATTAAAAACTGTCAGCTAATCAGCTACTGTACTTCTAAAGTGCCTATTATCTCTGATGGCCAGGGATTACTTTGCTTTTGTAGCATCGACATAAAACATGACACTTGGTACGAGTTGATACCATTCTGTAAAAACGTAATCAGTGACATTCAAATCACAAATCAGCATTTATTTTAAGTTTGACTTTCATTTGGATTCTATTGTAATCCCGGGCATCTTGTTTAGGAAACCCTCTTCAATGTACTCTCGATGATCAAATGGCTTTTATTATGTTTTAATGTTTCTTTTAAAGCAAAGTAATGAGAAAAAAATGATCCAGCTCAATCCGTACACTACTTAAAAAAGCAAGGGCTAATCTCTCTGCTGATGAAATCTTTTCTAGCTTCATAGTAAGATCTCTTATATTTTTAATGGGTATATATTTGTGCAATTTCTATGCAAAGGCTCATATTTTCATTACAGAGCTGCACTTTGTGATCATTACTTTACAATTTGTTACAAACAATACTGAATCTGTTAAGTGTACAGTATCTTTGTCAGATTTTTCTACTTGCCGATCTTGAAGGATCATTTTTGAAGAAGTGTAATATGCATGAATCATAACTACAGGCACTCAGTGTGACTAATAGATCTGTCAAACATCCAGTAAACATGAATAAAATGTGAGATTGATGACGCCGACATCCACTAATCTGTCTCGTTAAGTGTGTGACATCTGGAACGACGGAACGAGATATATCCAGAATAATACTCGGTGAATATGATTCGTTTGTGTGAGCTTATGCCAGAGCCTGTTCTGCTAATGATCTCAGAGTAAGCCACATTTATCACTTAGTCAATTGAAAAATGCCAAATATTTGATTTGTTCCCGTTTCTCAAATATTTGTTGAATTTTTTGTTTGTAAATGTGACTTTTGAATTGTTGACAGGACTATTTGAAAACGGTAAAACATTATGGACATTTTCCACCTTACTGATTTGGATATATTTTTGTTTTTATCTATCAAATTATAATTTACAGTTTGACTGACAAAAATGATGAATGCATTTTATTGCATTTATTATGATACAAATACAACTTCAATAATTATATTGCACACTTTCAGGTTCATATTTGTATTTAGTGTCTCTACTGTGACATGTATCCATGCTTTAATGTAAAAAAGCTCTTTATTTTTCTCATACTGCCTGTGCTGCAGCACCTCTGTCTGAAACCAGAGCCCAGTCTGCTCTGATTGGTTAGCTGGCCGGCTCTGTTGTGATTGGTCAACCGTTTAGAGATGTCCCGCCCCTTAGATTATTTTGTACAATGTGTTGGAGTGCTAGAGCTAGACAATAGAAGTGCAAGTGGTACATAGTCATGGGCGTAATTTCCACTGGGGACATGTGGGGGGACATGGATATACCCACTTTTCAAAATCCTGTTTGTGTCCCCCCCCACTTTTCAAAACGCAAGTGGTCATCGTCACGGAGGAGCGTCTGTGTGTGTGTGGCAGGAGCTTTATATATACAGTCTATGGGCAGGAGCGCATGTTGTGTGTGAGAGAGAGAGAGAGACAGAGAGAGAGACACGGGGGTTGTTGTTAGCATCTGGTGCTAGCTCGGAGCTAACAGAGATTAGAAGCTGTTTCAACAATAAGGAGAGGGAGAGTCCTCTTCTGTCGGACTGAGAGGCTGAGATAACATCAGCTCAGGGAGGTAAAGTACTCGCTGAGTGATTAGATTGTAAACTTTAGTCTAAGTTATCTCAGTGGGTCTCAAACGGTTTGGTCTAAACAAATAGTTCCATCTATTTAATATAGTTATTCAAAATAAGTTAAAAAAATAATTCCAATGTCAGTAAAACAATTAAAAACACAGTTTGAAAGGGGAGTGATTAGTAAAATATGCATAAATAAAAAGAAATAATGCAGACTAGGTATGATAAAGATAGGAGAGAGAAGTATCAATAATGTGTTATTGTGAGCATATTCTAATGGTTTTTGGAGTATAGAAATATATACAGTTCTGTTTCATATGAGTGTTGAGAGCTGTATCCATAAATCTCTTAATTTGTGCACCAGATTGATGCCTTTAACTTCAATTTAAAGAAACAATCTTACCGAGGGTGCATGCCCCCGGACCCCCCTATAGGATGTGAGGTCATCACAAATAATACAGGTTCATGGATAGATAAGTTTGCACACTCATTATATACACTACACATTTTTCGTGGATTAGTTAACACCATAGTCCCTAATATATATTTGTAGAAAGGCAGGAAATGGAATTAAATCGAGAACAATGTTTCATTGCGGAGGACCCGCTGTTTTGTGTCCTCCCCACTTCTCAAACCAAAGTTACACCCTTGAGTGATGTCATTATGTTCAAGAAGAAAACAAAGGAGTCCAATGGAGGCGTTTCAGGCAGGGGGGAGTGTGTGGGAGAGAAACTAAATGAATTGACGTTTGCACAAATTAATACAATTATCAATCTATAAAGGAGAAATCTGAATGTGAACTCAAACAAAACACTGTTTCTCCATCAAAGTCTCAGACTCATATGTTTTTCATCTGGCTTATCTCCTGTTTTATATCTCTGTTCGAGTAAAGTAAAATACCAGCCAGACCATTTCCAAAACTGTGTGTTTGCCGACACATTCAGGCTCAGGTACGTAGGAAGAGAGTTGAATGTTGAGAATCTCACTAACCAACACAGCCTCAGCTGTAAAGCTTGCCAAAACACCTTCAAACTCCTCTTGGCCTTCAAAATAAAATACAGAAACGTTTCGCTTCACAATCGTGCAACAAATAGGTCATTAGACTTCCATTATTCCTATTGGTGGCTGGTACATTGTTTTCCATAGCTATAGGAATATGTAAGGCAAGGCAAGGCAAGTTAAGTTTATTTATATAGCACTTTTCAACACAAGGCAATTCAAAGTGCTTTACAAAAAATGAAAGACATTAAGAAAATGGCATTTAAAATCAGTCATTAAAAAGAAAAGCTAATAAAATAAACATTAAAAGAAAAAATACATGGATAAAAGTTACAGTGCAGTCTAAGATATGAATAGTTCAATTAAAAGCAGCGACAAAAAGAAAAGTCTTCAGCCTGGATTTAAAAGTAGTCAGAGTTGCAGCTGACCTGCAGGTTTCTGGGAGTTTGTTCCAGATATTTGGAGCATAATAACTGAACGCTGCTTCTCCATGTTTAGTTCTGACTCTGGGGACAGAAAGCTGACCAGTCCCTGAAGACCTGAGAGATCTGGATGGTTCATAATTTAGCAGGAGGTCAGAAATGTATTTTGGGCCTAAAGCATTCAGTGCTTTATAAACCAGCAGCAGTATTTTGAAATCTATTCTTTGACACACAGGAAGCCAGTGTAAAGACTTCAGAACAGGAGTGATGTGATCCACTTTCTTAGTGTTAGTGAGGACTCGAGCAGCAGCGTTCTGAATTAGCTGCAGCTTCCTAATAGATTTGTTAGTGAGACCTGTGAAGACACCATTGCAGTAGTCGAGTCTACTGAAGATAAAAGCATGGACAAGTTTTTCCAAATCCTGCTGTGACATTAGTCTTTTAATCCTAGATATATTCTTTAGGTGATAGTAGGCTGATTTAGTAACTGTTTCAATGTGACTGTTGAAACTCAGGTCAGAGTCCATGACTACACCTAGATTTCTGGCTTTATCTGTTGTTTTGAACATTGCAGACTGAAGCTCAGCGCTAACTTTTATACGTTCTGACTTGGCTCCAAAAACCATTACCTCAGTTTTATCTTTGTTTAATTGGAGAAAGTTCTGACACATCCAGTCATTGATTTGTTCAATGCACTTACTCAGTGTTTGAATTGGAGCATAGTCTCCTGGTGAAATTGTTACGTACATTTGTGTGTCATCTGCATAGCTATGGTAACTTATTTTGTTGTTCTTCATTATCTGAGCCAGTGGTAGCATGTAGATGTTACCAATGTAGACATTATCCATTTCCTACCGATATCTTGAGAATGCGATTTTTATTTTGAAAGAATACACAGGAAATGCTACGCCTGTATTGCTGCATGCTTGACTGGTGTTGTATGTACACCTGTGCAGAGAGCAGGGTCTCACATGCAGGAGGAGGGGGGCAGCAGACTCATTGATGAGACCTCCACTCCGCTCTGTACAGAGGAACCGACAACATGTCCCGTCTCATCGGAGGGATCCTGCTCTCTCTGTGGCTGCCTCAAACTGTGAGTGATACTTTAACTTACCTTTTGTTAACAATGAAAAAAGGTACATTATTATTATTATTGCCACATAGAAAACTTTAGGTTCTCTTTTGCAGGGAATTGGCTGATGTGTTTCAAAAACGAGAAATCTTGAAATGTTACCTATTTCTCTTTCTTTTCCTCTCCTAGATTTGCATTTGAATTACTTTGCTTTCACTGAGCTTTAATCAAAATCATCATAACAAACAAACTGTGTGTGCGCGCCCCAGTGTCTGTCTGTCTGCAGAATCCTGATCTGCAGCTGATCATTTTCTTATCATTAGCATGTGTTGCATAATAAACTACTCTGCAGGAGGGCATCAGTAGACTGATCTAAAGCCATGAGTACTTGATCCATAGGCTCACCAATGAATGTGATGTGAATAAGTATAAAGTGTGTATGTGTGGGTCTCTAGTCTTTACTATTCAATGTGTGGGTGGGTCTGGAGGTGTGTGTGTCTTACGTGAGTGTGTGTTGTCTTCTAAATCTAAGAAAAAAATGCCAATATCCCATCACACCAGCATGGATTTTCCAATTCTGTATTATTTAAAAGTGTGAACATGTGTTAATGTTATCTTTCAAATGTAATTAAAATCCGTCTGCTGGAGATTTAGTGCATGTGTGTGACCTGTGGGGTGTGATTATATGTTAACCTTTAATATAAATACACTTTATTGACCACACATGTGAACAAGGATTTCAAGTTTATGTTTCACCATTAAAAAAAATTATAAGAAATTCTCTGAACAGGGAGAGCTAGAAAACCCACTGGGTAATTTTAAGTCTCCACCTTAATAATATTACAACTTGGCAATGCTGTGAATCACTGGTTCCCAACCTGGTGTTCGGGCCAATGTTGACAGGTGGCAGCCAAGACTCATCTGCTCTGATGGTGTCATAATAAGATTTCAACATGCATAGGAAAATCATAACAAAACTACAACTGGAAACTTTAAAGGTCACCCATTATGCAAAATCCACTTCTTCATGTCTCTTCTACATCAACATGTGTCCCCTCTGTGGAAAGAGACTCTGAAAGTTTCAGGAACAAAGATTCTCTCTCTTTTTGTCCTGATCCATTTCTATAAAAACCTGTCTGAAAATGAGCTGATCAGATTTTGGCCACTTGATGTCATAACGATGTTTTGGCTTGTGTAACCATTAGCCAATCACCAACCAAGGTAACCCCCCCCCCCCCCCCCCCCCCCCCTTAATCACCTGCATCTCCTCCTAGAGCACCATTGTGTTCTTTGTCCAAATATCTCTCAGAGGGGCGTGGGGAGGGGCTCCATATTGTCATCTAAAGTAACAGACAGAGAATCAGCTCTTTTGAAACAGGGCTGAAACAGAGGGGATTATGGGTAATGCTGCAATGATCGGTTTGGTGTTTTCTTTTTAAGATTTGCTCTTTTTTTTTGCGTGCTATCAGATACTTTGAAGATAATCAAAAGGAGG